CGATGGGGTGAGGTGAGAAGAGGGGAGAGAAGGGTTGGAGGTGTTGGAGTTCGTCTGTCTGTGCTGTTCCTAACCTAACCTAACCTCCATACCCTTATTCATCGGCCTTGTCGACTCCACTGCGCGGACTCTGCCATTATAACTAGTTTCAAAAGTGTGACAGCGGAAAGTCACGTGTCGCCTCAACGCTAAAAACAAACCCAAACTTGGGAGATCCGAAGAAACAGGGAGATGTGAGAGATATATACACCTTCGTAAAAGCACAATCACGTACTCCAATACCTACCTACCCCTTCCAATCCACATGTGTGGACGTGAAGCTCAAGTACCCCGACACCCTTTCTACCGAGAGAAGCGCCGTACGTCTTTGCGGCACAGTAGAGCCTACGTGGCGCGCTCGCCTCGGTTTTCTTTTTTAACCGCGTTGTGGCACGGTTTTTGTGCGGCTGGTAGGTCGGTCCCCTTTCTGTTGGCTGGTCGGTCGACCTGGCCGGCTATTAGGTCGACTGGTACACCACACTACTACACCTTACTAGGAGTACGTCCCTCTTTCGGCTGGTAGGTCAGATCGTAACTCGCTCTATCGGTGCTTCGGTACTTCGGTGCTACCTCGGTTGTAATCGCACCTCGGGGTTTGTATAGTGAACATTGTGGTGGCTGTGAAGTGTGGCTGTGGTTTGTGTAGCGTTACTACACTTTTTCTGCCCTGGCTATCCCTGCTACTGCGACCACCACATTGCAGAGTAGGATAGACGAAAAGATAGAGTGGTAGTCGGAGTCTCCGACGCAAGCAGATGATGCGTCTGTGCCGTAATTTTTTTCTGTTCTGACCAAAGTCCGCAGCGAGCGAGTAAGCAAGTAAGAGAGCTAGGAAAAGGGATGCTAGTGTACACGAGTCTTTGGTGTGAGGCGAAAACGGTGCGGCATGGCATGGTAGTGAGAAGGGCTAGCGGCGTCGCTGGTGCCATGCCGCGGCAGGACCCTCTTTGCCTCTCCTTTTTCTTTTCTTTTTTCCAAGGGAGACGGGTCGAGTATGGCTAGCGAGGTGCGTGTGGCACGGGTATGCAGAGAGGCGAAGGAAGGGTTGGTAGACGCGCGTGTGATATCGGAGCACGGATGTGTTGCGGTTTGACTGACACGATTTGCACGGATGAGAGTGTGCGAGGGAGGTAAGGATGGGTATGCTTGGATGACGGGGTTGGGATACGATGGATAAGTTTAAATACGATGGTGCACAGCATAATATTTAAGCTTAAATGTGAGGATGTGGGGATGACCCTTGCGCTTAATGCGATGGCATAATGAGAGATATGGGGTGAGGATAAGCACCTTAAGTTTTGCCATTGCTTTTGTATTTAGATGGTTGGATGGTGGTGTTTGATGTGGAATCAGAAAGGGTTTATGCTCCTTACTGGTGTTTTCAGCGTACTGTCGCTACTGAATATGTTGAATGAGCAAAGCAAAGTGAATATGCGGGATAGTGTAATGTGGAAGGAGAAGAATGACTCGCAAGGCAGATGCGCATGGCTGTATTTGCCTGATAGATGTAAATGTAGACAAGTCTGAGTCTATGATTTTCCCCTCTTCGATGTTGTCGGTTCGTATATATTTCGCTGATTTTCAGTCATTTCTCAATTCTTGAGAAAAGAAGGAAAGCATAGCCATCATCAAAGAATACCATAGGCATTATCCAGCCATGATCAAGACATTACCCCCAATTAATCTATATCCCGGGTCCCTCCCAACTAACAGAGGTATATCTAACAATATACGCCTCATAGGTATCATAGCTTTTCATGCTTCAAAGTCATGGTATTCGAGAACAAAGAAAAGGAAAAAAAAACTGCCTCGTTCCTCAGAATCAAGCCCTCGACGACGTCGCAGTCACATGTGTCGTCTGCTCCAGGCTAATCTCATCCGAAGACCTGTCGTCAATGGCATACGGATCTCTGGGGTTGCTAGACAGATTCCGCAACTCGGTCGTGCTGTGAAATTTGACTTCCTTCTGAACATAAATCGAGCTGCCTGGCCCACTCTTGGTATTCTGCTCGTCGTCGAGCCGTGTGCGTTGACCATATCCATTGCCGTACGCGTTGGCGTAGACGGATGAATCCTTGTTGGAAGACCCGAGCAGGACCGGTGCAATGCGCTTGACCAATGGCCGCAGGGTGGGCACGCAAGCGCACATTATGCCGAGGTTTGTCTCGATAATGGATAGCATAGCGGTAGTTGCCATTATCCATGTGCCGTCGGTAGTGTTCTTGTTCACATGCACTTGTTGCGCTAGCCGCACAGCTGAGATGACACATACCCTGAGCAGATTGTCAGCATCATCTTCATGCATCAGGGGAAGAACTTGCAGAGATAATCACTCACACAAGACCTAAGCATAGAACAATCAAAAGGTAAGCTTTGCGCAACCTGTTGATCTGCAATTGGAGCACGGGCTTGATCGGAACCATCAAAATGGCAAAGTCGGTAACCATATTCATCGCGCCGTTGAGAATAAATGGACTGTGTGCCTCGTGTCAGCAAATCATGGATGATGGATCTCCCGGATGGGATATGGTGCTTACATATCGGGCCTTATGCAAGCCACAGTCTTCGGATAGATAAGCTGTGCAATGCCGCACGCGAACGAAGTGTATATCCTTCGGCCGTTAGATTAGAATTCGTCATGTTTTACGAGTCAAGACTTACTGCTGCGCAACTCCCCACATGATCAGAAATGCCACGCTCCAGTTGCAGATTGCCCGCATTGTACTGCTAGGAAATATGTGTCTGTATTGCAGCATGAGGGATATCTTCGTTGCAATTTGTGTAGCGTTGTAGACAGCCATGGCAGAGTAAACCAACTTCTCTGGTCAGCATATTTCTCGGTAGTTCCTCACTGGCTCGGTCTTACCTTCAGAAATATAGGCAGTTTATCCATTACAAACTGAATGTGTCGTCCTATACCCCCAGCAGTGAAGCACACGATATTGATGGCCGCGAGGCCCAAGCCGAAGATCTGGGCTAAGAGAATGACATAGTCGTCACTTGTGACATGTCTCAAGAGGATCTTTCTGATTTGTTGTCAGACAATGGTACGCCGTGTTTCAGGGCAGTTCTGACCGTGTGTACAGTCGAAGGGCGACTGTGGTGCACGAAGCTACTGTGAAGACAATAGTGACGGCAAGACCGGCAGGAACCTGTGGACAGTGTCAACGAGTTTGGTCTAGACAATAGGCAGTTGATCGCATACGAGAGACTCTTTTTCCAGCTTCGGGTCCAGGTTCGGCGGTGGCGGCGGCGGAGAACCACTCATTTTGATCTCGATGAGTGTACAACGGCACGAGTAGTCTTCATCTGCATTCAAATGGGGTAATGAGTGTCCATGTGTACGAGCTCTCCAGAGTGTTAAGTAAGACTTCAAAGGAGACCAGGGAGCAACCCAAGCACTTTTTTTCTTCTAGAACGACACGGTGGGCTGTTGTTATGCGGGCGCGGATAATCCGGTTCATTGGGCGTCTTACAATTCTTGGGGTGTTGCTAATTAAGTGTGAGACGCCACGGGAAAGTTAATTATTGAGCCGTGGTCGACAACGATGTTCCCTACACTGGCCCGGGGAAGCATAGGATCCATGTCAAAGCGCTGCAGGACACACATGGAATCGTATACATGCAAGTCGCCATCACGCTCGTTTCTGGTCTAGAGCAGTGGTCCATCTAAGCAGGGTTCAGCTACACGCTTTACAGTAAATGACACTAGTTGCCTTAGCTAGGGACTGGACATGCCGACGCGCAAGCTCCAGGCGGGCCGTAGTACTGGGCACCGATGCAATGGCAAAAGCCATCAGTGGCCAGGCGACAGATGAGGACTCGGAATGGCAAAATATCAGCCCATGGTGGCAGATGCATTCAGCCCAAGAACAACCAGTCCTCAAAGAGTCAGTTGACAAGACTTGGTCATGCATGGCTAACATCCATCAGGTAATTCTGATTATTCAGATGAATCGTCTTCAAGAACTAGAGTGAGACTTACTTACCTGAAGAGGCATCTCGGAGAGTTCCGTCCGAACATGGACCTACAGCGTTTAACGATGAAGTCTCGGCATCGACCAATGGTAGCAGCAGGGAGCGTCACCTGTACCTTTCTTCGGGTTTAGATCGACCGACCAATTGCACGATATTAAATCGTAAAGGGTGCTCGATTATCGTGGCGATGGTGGTTCGTGCAGATCGCCGTCCTGTCCTCCCCGTCCCGTTCGCTGACCGTTCATCTCCCCGCCTTGCTTGAAAGGGTCGTGTGGTGGCGCCGGTAATATTTCGGTGTGATCCATGCATATGGGAGCACGTGTTGCCTCCGCACACTAGAAGAAGAAATAATTATACGGATCAAGACTACTGGTTCCGCCGTTTCTGTCAATCAAGTCGTCATTAGCTACCACACTCCACATTCCGTAGTACACACCACTATACGCGAAACATAGTGAACAAGACAGGTCGAAACAGCGCGATACGCACCTTTAATGCACAACACGTAGCCGATCGGGCGCAAAGCACCCTTGTACCGTGCTACGTGCATCAATAGTGTCGGTGCTTCCCACGTGCTCACCATCTCGGGTACAATGGAAGAGCGGGACCCCTTGCAGATCCGTAAGTCGCGCGGTCTTTTTGGATCGATTCTTAATCCTCACTTGTTAATGACCAATTTCGCATAAGGTTACATGCATATTTGCGACGTGAAACGCAAGAACTTTGAAGAAAGCATGGACTTGGTCACGTTTCATGTGTGTCTGTCAAATTTGCTGCATTCGGAAAAGGAGGGTGGATGTAGTCGCCAGGCGACTCCCCTTTCTTGTATTCGACATCTCTTCCACCGCTGACGTATATCCTAATATACCACTTTAGTATTGCATAACTACAGTGTCCTCCAGTATCATCTGTACTTATCGGCGGTAGTACCCTCTCATGCAACAACTACACCTTTTGTGCAGATGAATAATCCGTCTCACTTCTTATTCCACTGCCAGCTTAGTCTTGACCATTAGGCCAAAAATGTGTCCATAATGGAACGAAGCATATACTGCAGCTCTCCTCGAATCCATATCGACATGTGCAGTCCTTGTTCCCTTGACTGGATCGCGTTCTGAAAGGAGGGTAACCCTGAGACTATTGACATCCATGTTAATACTTAGCCGAGTCGAGCTGGCATGTTTGCAAACTTACAGATTTGATCGGTACTTGGCCAGGAAAACCAAGATGGATTTCTCATCCACGTCTGCAGCTAGATTGTAGATAATGAGACGGCGGGTAAGTTGGCGTTTCTTGTCCTCTTCGCCTGTAACGTAACCACCGTGACCAATGAGACATCCATTCTCGTTCCGAATCATATTCTCCAATTCCCGTTTGTCATGGCTTTCATCTGTGTTGCTACTAAACAAGTACGTGCTCCTGCTTTTGACGTGTTCCCACTTGCAACTAGACGTCTCGAGCATGAGCGCCACAGCATACGGCGCGATCTCCGGACTAAGCGAACCAGCTGAACGGGTACAGAGGCGGCTCGTCGGATCCATACCGAAAGGAACCGCGGGTCTCGTATACTTACCATATGGCGTGGGTTGGCAATCTAGTGAATGGAAAGGTCCTCCGCGGGCGAACTCAAAGTCGCCATCAACACCCCTGGATAGTTCCTGTCCTGACTCTGGTATGCTCCCCTTGATTTCTGGAAGCATAGCTTCTAGCTCAACAAGCTCACAAGTCTCGTGGTGAACGGTGACCAGGCGAGTCATAGCCGAACACTCTCGGTCGGTGGCTCCGCGGAGGGCCGTCACGTCCTGCTTGGTAGTACGGAGGCTGTCCCGATTACTCAAATTAGCATTGCCACTCTCCTCGCTTTTAGTTCTTCCTCACCCTTCGTTCTCGCCCATGGCCACCCGTCCCATAACCAGCTGCGCTCGGTTTCGCAACTCTGGCTCCCGCCGGTCACTCGCTTTGATAAGCGTATTTCTGATATCTTCTAACTGGCGGCTTAGGAGGCCAGTCGTCATTGTGGTAATAGGGGTGAGACGGAAAAAGAGATAGATAATTTGGTTCCAAATTGGAAATGTGTATGTTTTTTGGTTGGTGGGAAGTGATAGAGTGATAGAGTATAGAGGACGTGAGAGAGGTTTGTTTGTCTAGTGACGACATGGGTAAACAACCGGAAACAACTACAAGGAAGGTACAGACAACCATCTACAGCTTTGGTCTCAAAAAGCATTTGCAGCGAGACCGATGCGTTAAACGGGAATGAACCGGTATGCCGATTGTGCAATGGTAAGTTTTACTGTAGTAAGTTTGATGATCAAATGCATTGAACTGACATCATGAACGAGTGATGATACGGTGGAAAGTGGAATGTGAAGATTCAACGCTACATATATAGCTCGAGATGAGCTGCATACATATTCGCTCTTTTCCATCCCTCCTACACCTAGGTGACATATAGTTTCTTAGCTGAAGGAACACCAAACACACAACCTTGCATGAGCCCTCCAAAGGTTTCATTCAAGGCGCGACGTATATGAATTTATAAGATGAGAGTCTATCCAGACATCCCAAACAAACTCACATAGTTTTCCTGTGGAACTGGAGAGAAATAAAGCAGGCAATCACTGCTTCTTCTTCCCCGCTCCCTTCTTCTCTTCAGCCAGACGCTCCATTTCTTGAATCTCCTGCTCCTCGGCCCTCTTGGCATACCACTGACCTGCTTGCAGCACCAGGACGCCCACGAGGACAAGAGCAAGAATGGTATTGCTAGCTGCAAAGACCCTCAGTGTGTCTTCCCTCGAGATGTAGTCGCCCATATCCTCTTCGGTAATCTCGCCCGGATTAGCCTTGTCCATCTCGCCGTAGATACCAGCCGTGACGACGCGGAATCCCTTGACAATATTGGTCAGGTAGACGGTGATGCCGGCCATGTACAGGACGAGGGATGCGCCGTCAAAGAGCATGTTGGCTTGGTTGGGCTTGAAGAGCTTGATTAGGAAGCCGAGGAGACCGGTGCCGATAACGAGATTAAGGATGCGCGAGACTATCGGGGGCGAGGCATAGAGGAACTTGATGTGCGACTCGAGAATGTCAAAATAGGATGCGCGGTCCTCGGGCGTCGTCCATAGGACATTGTAGTCGTAGGGCAGTTGCGCGAAGAGGATTCCGAGGAAAAAACATGTCGCTGTGTGCTCGTTAGAATGTGCTTTGTGCTGGAAGCCCGAGGCTTTAGGCTGAAGCGGAACTGAGGCTACATACGTCCAACTACCATGAATTGCGCAAAGTTGTTTGCTGCACCGACTGCCATGATTGCGATGTGGAATAGGACGCGGAATCTAAGGGCATGTGCAATCAAGGGTCTTTGAGGGTGGATAGAGGCCAAGTGGAAGCTGGCGCAGGCTTATCGTGCTCGTTTGCTAACCGCGAGGCGCAAGAATCGTCGTTGGAGGTAAGCCTATTTTAGAAGGTAATGCCGGGAACACGGCTTGGAAAAAAAGTCCTTCACTTGGCTAGCATCAAAAGCGAGGTGCGAATCGGCGTTGAAGCGGTGATTGTCTCGTCGGTTTACAAAGTTCGTTCTTGCAGTTCGCTAAAGACCCCGCGATGGTTCATGCCGCTATGATGCTCCTCTGCAGATACGTGCCTTGGCATGTGACCGCATAGCTATGTCACGCGATATTTATCCAGAGGCGTCCAGCGTAGACGTTGTGATGGAATTGCTTCGTTGTAAGCTACACACAGCCATATACGCGGCTGCCAATACAATAGAAATGTCCTAAGCGTCGCTTGGATATCCAACGCCTTCATACGCCATGTCCCAATTGCACTACTGTTCTTGCTCCTTCTCATGCGTAATCTAGAAGTCATTGTCGGCATCCATATCCTCGTCTTCCATGCCAGCCTCGATAAAAACAAGTCGTGTTCCTTCTCCAGTCGTTTGCCAGACCTGTCGACTAGTGTTAGCGAGCAATGGATTACGTTTCTCTGCCGACTACTTACATCAAGCATAGCATATTCATCAATAGCCGACTCAAACTGATCGGCAGTAAAACCCTTGGCCAGGACTCTCTCCCTGACTCTGCGGAGGTCAAGTTCACCCCTGGTGCCATCGCCAACGGCCGCAGCACCGCTCGCCTCCATGGACTTGATGAGGTGGTAGATCTTGCTGCTCGGGGTATGATCATCCCTGCGGTTCTCGTCGGCGTAAAGACTGGCCTTACTGACCTCTGTGAGGCGGAGAGCCTCGTCGACGTCTTCTGAGATGACCTCATCAGCAAATCGTAGACGCGCCAGAGCCTGGGCCAGGCGAAGCACACCCAAGAGCGTACGCGGCGAGGTGTGCGTGAAGGCCTTCTTATTGCCATCATCGCGCTTTTGTTGTTGCCGCATGCGCACATAGGCGCCAACCATGTAGTCGGCAACCTCCTTGGGTACAGTCGGTCGATAGGACCTGGCACGGGCAACCCACTGTCGAACTTCTGCAGGGCTGAAGACGATGCCTCCTGGAGCTTCGGGATGGGCGTTGTGCATGTGGACATGCGTAACGTGGCGAGCAAGCTCTTCGTCTGAGTCACGCGTAGGGGTATCGAGGATGAGGAACAGAACGTCGAAACGGGACAGAAGAGCGGCGGGGAGGTTGATGTTCTCAATGGGCGACAAGCGGGGATTGTAGCGACCGTACAGTGGATTGGCGGCTGCCAGAATCGATGTGCGGGCGTTGAGTGTGGTGGTGATGCCGGCCTTGCTGATAGAGATGGTCTGCTGTTCCATGACTTCGTGTATGGCTGTTCGGTCGCTGTCATCCATCTTGTCAAATTCATCAATACAGCACATTCCGTTGTCGGCAAGAACAAGAGCACCTCCTTCGAGAACCATTTCATCTGTTACTGGATCACGCATAACAGCTGCGGTCAGACCAACGCCACTGCTACCGCGACCAGTCGTGTAGACACCACGAGGCGCAACCTTGGTAATGTACTTGAGCAATTGGGATTTGGCCACACCAGGATCACCCATCAGGCAGACGTTGATATCACCACGGATGCGCATACCGTCTCCCACCTCCTTTGTGACACCGCCAATGAGCTGGAGCAGAAGTGCCTTCTTGACATCAACATGGCCAAAGATTTCGGGCGCAATGGATCGCGACAGGTACTCGTACAGCTGACCGGTCCTCTCGAGCTCGTTCATTCTTCGCAGGGTTGGCTGAGCAAGCACAATGTCGTCATAGGCCTTCTTGTGCTGTAAGACGTACTGAGCCTCGAGATAGGTATCGGTAAGAAGACCAGCGCGAATCGCCTTGAAGCCAGTGTAAGGCGTGGGGAGGAAAATGCCAGTGCAGTCAATGACATCTCCAGGGTTAATCTGGCGGACCAGAGCGCCATGGCAGTGGATGGTGAGCTGCCTGGGAATGTGGCCGACTGGCACTTGATCGGCCATTTCCTGAATCTTGACTTCCTGGAAGGGGAGGAATTTCGAAGCGCGGGTAGACAGGAACAGCTGGCCCTTGGTCTTATTGCTCTTGCACTCTTCTGAAGGGCATTCAACAAGCGGAGTGAACTGCTTGGTCGTCACCGGCTGGAAAACTTCACTACCACAGCGGTCACACGAGTAGGCATTGACAAGCACCGCAGGCTTAACGTCGGAGACCCTCGTTGCGATACCGCGGACTGTGATGAGGTGGCCGAGGTGCTCTCCACGGACGTTTCGTACGGCGAGCGCCTTGAGACTACGCTGGCTGCTGGAACCCGAGGGCACTCTGGGCTTGAAGTTGAGCGTGTAGCGTCGCGTCAAGGCTGGGGGAAATATTGACTCCGGAGCAGCTTGTTCGGCATCATCGACACCCTGTAGCTCTTGCATCCTTTCATTGCGCTTGGAGCGCTGTGTCATGATCACGTCCAGCACATCGTCCTTGAAGCTATGTACAGTAAGTCCTGGCACTGGCAGATTTCACGAAGTGCCATACCTCAGCTCTCTGGTGGGCTCTGGAAGGCACTTGTCCACGGCGCGCGAAAATATGTCAATGTAGTGATGGGCGTTCCGCTCGATGGACTCGACCAGCCTAAGGTTTTGCTCGTCGTCTAAAGCTTTCTCGTACTGGCGATTGTGAATCAGTTGCGGGGTGCCGGTAGCTTGTCATGGCCACTCACCGCCTCGACGTCGTTGAGGTCTATTTGAATCTCGTCGCGCATGCGATTGGCAACCTCTTGGAGCTGGTCCATGTACTTTAACTTGGACTTGTTGCGCGTCTGGGCTGCGGGGCCGCTATCCTCGTCGTCGACCATGTCGTCGTCATCCTCGGTGCCATTGCCGTTGAGGTTGAGGCTCTCGAGCTGGTCTGCTGCCTCGGTCGAGGTGGACTTGTAGTTTTTGAGGAAATCAACAAAAGCAGCTATGCGGTGTTAGCAAAGGGCGGCCAGGGTGTTGTGTACGCGTGTAAATATACACACCCTCCTGCTCATTGTAGTTGACGGGCGCACTCGTAGTGAGCAGCGCCATGGGGGGCAAGATTGAGAGGTGGCGGCCGGAATATAAAAAAAGACGGCCGTGGGTCTGGTGTTATTGGTGATATCTCGGAGACAATTGCAGCGGGGAGGGAATGGCAAAATCGGGGCTGGGCTGGGCGCGTTGCTGGGTTGGGGCGCGTCCACCCGCGTCGACAAGGGCCCGCATCCCGTTGGTACTGCCGGCTGCCACCGCCCTGCGCCCATGGCCGCCGACGACCTCGGCTCGCTGGGGGAGAGAGAGAGGGAGAGTGATGCGCTTGGGCTTGCGAGTAGTAGCCGTCATTCTGCTCTCTCCATTCTCCATTCACTGCCCCTTCTCCAGCTATGCCGCCCAAAAAGCCCGCCGGCAACGTCGTCCAGGCAGAGGTCGTCTTGCACCAGTCGCTCAAGAACTGCCTTGTCAACTTACCGTCGTCGTTGGTGTCGGTGCTTGTCAATGCAAACACGGTACGCGCCATGAGCTACACTCAACACCCAGTCGCTTACTCCCTGTCCAGGTCGCCCAGAATGTCGTCGTAGAGCTCTCATACCGCCAACCTCCCCCTCCCGGTGCTACCGACAATAAGAATGCCGCTCCAAAGTCCGTCTTCCTGGGATGGACGGGCATGCAGAGCAAGCGCAAGATTGCGCCCGTCGTCGGCAAGGATGGCCTGAGGGGCAGCCCGGCAGTCAGCCAACAAGACCTTCCGGCAGTCGAAGTGGATGCTACGTTTGCGCGACTGATCGGTCTTCAGCAGGGCCAGAAAGTCGGCATCATACTGCACCTTGACCCTCCCCAAGCCCACACCATCAACATCGAGCCATTGACCCCTGTCGACTGGGAGATGATCGAGTTACATGCGCAATTTCTTGAACTAAACTTCCTCTCGCAGATACGCGCACTGCCTAACCCACAAGCCCAGTCGCCGCACCCCCTGACCCTCCATCTGTCTCCTACTACCACCGCTAATATCATTGTCACCTCCATTGCCCCCGCGCCGCAGAACACATCGCTCTTTGTTAAAATCTCGCCCGACGCAGAAGTCATCGTTGCGCCCAAGACACGACAAAAGGAGAGGAGCTCGACTCGGGAGAGCCGGAGCGTAGGCGCTGCTTCAAGAAAGAGCGGGAAGAGCACCGCAAGCACAGTACGGCGTCGCAGTGGTCGTGAGGATGCTGCGACAAAGGGCGTTGTCTTCCTACGTGGTGTTGATCGAAGCGTTGCCCAGGAGTGGTTCGATGACGAAGACGATACCGACGCAGAGGGACTGAAGGTCTGGGTTGATCCCGAGGTACTCCTCACAAAGGCACTCAGGGGGATCACTTGGGTCTCTGTATCAGTCATCAAGCCTGCAGGCCTACAGGAGCCCGTCGACATGTCCAAGGAGCAAGAACAGGAGAAAGCTGCGACCCGTGTAGTAGCCAAAATTGTCCCATGGGAAGATGCACCTGACAGCCGTCATGTAGCGCTTTCGGTCGACTTGTGCAAGGTTTTGGGTTGTGAGAAGTTTGTTGGTGGATTGGTTCGCATCGAAGGCGCGCCTGCCCAAACTCCCAAGCCACCTGCCATCAAGCCACAGGGTACCAAAGAGTCCAGGGAGCCCACTGTGAAATCAATCAAGATTGCACCTTTCGCTACAGTAGCATCACTCAGCAACGCATCACTGAAATTTGGTGGGGAGTCCAAGCAGGACCAAGAGAATGCTATACAGAAGATCAGAGCGTCGTATGGAAAAAAGAATGGACTTCTAGACGGGCCGGTTACTGACGGCATGATACTACCACCAACAAAGGATTCTGAACTTGGCTGGCAAGGAGGTATTGTAAAATTCGAGCCTCCCTCGACAACCAGTGGCCTATCATGGGTCCTTTTTCCTGAGAGGAAACCACCACTTGAACTGGGTCCAGAGGTGTCGGTACCATCGAGTTGGGCCAAGGGATGGCAGCAGGGTGACCCATTACCCGAAACCCCTGCCCACCTTGTTGGAATTGACCCTCTAATTGCACAATTAAGATCGCACCTGACGCACAATTCATCGGTACTTCTTACTGGAGGTCTCGGGGCAGGAAAATCAGAATGCGCTCAGCTTCTTGCCCACCAGCTCCGGACCGAGTACCTATTCAACACCACATACTTCCCCTGTCGTAAGCTGGTCACAGATGAGACGCGTGTTGCGACCATCAAAGAAACGCTCAATCGACTGTTTGCCACGGCCTCATGGGGTGCACGAGGTGGCGGAAATGCCGTAGTCATCCTGGATGACCTTGACAAGCTATGTCCTGTGGAAACCGAGCTTCAGGTTGGCAATGAAAACGGCCGAAGCCGGCAGGTCAGCGAGTGCCTGATCAACATCGTCCGACAGTACTGCTCCATGGACTCTGGTGTAGTGCTGCTGGCAACAGCGCAAGGCAAAGAAGCTCTCAATAACGTCATTGTCGGAGGTCACATTGTTCGGGAAATCGTCAGTCTGAAAGCACCCAACAAGGATGGCAGAAGAAAGGTCATTGAGATGCTAGCTTTCAAGGATGCCAAGATAGAGCCAACTGAACAAGCTAATGGCCACGCCTTCCCACCCTCTCCATCAAATAGCCGACCAAGCACTTCCCACCGCAGCAATGCTAGTGTCGATAGCATACAAAAACCGCCTTCTGACGAATACGGCTTCACTGTCGACGCTTCTATTGACTTTCTCGATCTTGCGGGACAGACAGACGGTTACATGCCCGGTGATCTTGTTCTGCTCACTTCACGTGCGCGAAACGAAGCACTCATTCGCTCTGTCACCTCAACATCCCCTACTGTGACTCTTACGCGAGAAGACTATACCAAAGCCCTTTCAGGGTTTACACCTGCCTCGTTGAGGAACGTCACATTGCAGTCTAGCACCACCAAATGGGATTCGATAGGTGGTCTGCATAACACACGTCAGGTCCTCTTGGAGACACTACAATATCCCACCACGTACGCCCCTATCTTCGCAAAATGTCCACTACGTCTCCGCTCAGGTCTGCTTCTTTACGGCTATCCCGGATGCGGCAAAACACTGCTCGCCTCTGCTGTAGCAGGTGAATGTGGCCTCAACTTTATCTCGGTCAAGGGCCCCGAGATTCTCAATAAGTATATCGGAGCGTCCGAAAAGTCTGTACGTGATCTCTTTGAGCGAGCAGAGGCAGCGCGGCCTTGCGTCTTGTTCTTTGACGAGTTCGACTCAATCGCGCCGAAGCGTGGCCATGATTCCACAGGCGTAACAGATCGTGTCGTCAACCAGCTCCTCACCCAGATGGACGGTGCAGAAGGTCTTTCAGGCGTCTACGTCTTGGCCGCCACCTCACGCCCTGATCTCATCGACCCTGCGCTCCTCCGTCCCGGTCGTCTAGATAAATCCCTCCTCTGCGACATGCCCGACGAAGAAGAGCGCATCGACATCTTACGAGCCGTAACCGCAAAACTGCACCTGGCACCCAGCATCCTCTCAGCCGACACATCCGGCCAAAATCTCCGCGAAATCGCCTCCAGAACAGAAGGCTACTCGGGCGCCGACCTCCAAGCCGTCGTCTACAACGCCCAGCTAGAAGCCATCCACGACGCTCTCGGCGACATCGACCCTTCCAAACTCGACGCCGCCGGCAACAAAAACACCGGCACAAAAGATACAAAAGGTATCCCCGACTTTTCCTACTTCCGCTACGGCGACGACGAAAGCAATACTCCCGCCGACTCCGCACTCCGTACCTCGCACCACATCTCCGAGCGCGCCCTTATAGCCCAGAAGATATCTTCCCTCCAGTCCCTCCGCAAGAAGCAGAAGCAACTCCAACGTTCCGTCAGCGGTCTCCTTGATCCCAAGGATTCATCCTCCCCCTCTAATGGCCTTGTAGAATCTAAAACAGAGGACGCATCTACTGATCGGAAAGATCCTCAGATCCAATGGAACCATATTGAATCTTCATTGGTGTCTGGAAGAAGCAGTATCTCAGCTCAAGAGCGAATGCGCCTCAAGAGGATATACACGGAGTTTGTGGATGGGAGGGATGGCAATTTGCCAAATGGACAGGGAGGAACGGAGATTGGGGGGAGGAGTAGTTTGATGTGAGATGCTTTTTCTCTCTCTTTTTTTTTAGCTCGTTGAAAGGGAAGGGTATAATGTTAGTTTGAGAGGGGGGATTTTTTTTCTGTGTCGATATATGTATATATCCCCAGTTTACTTGGAAAAAAAAGCCCTGGTGTAATGCCCATCTATCATGTTTTGTAATTCAAGTTAAGAATTCTTTCGTCACAAATACGTATTCTCGACCTATTGCGGTAAGCAACACCCTAAAATCGGTAATAGATGCATGCATGATATCTTGTTCATTTCATCTCTTATTCCTTATTCACCCCTCCACCTACCCTCAAATATCTCTCTCCCCGAGCCCAAACACCTTTATTTCGACACCGCACTCTTAACCGTCTCCCCCACTTTCTCTGCCTTGCCCTTCAACGTTGCCTCCCTGCCCCCGAAATTCCAGTAGTTCAAATACCGGTATCCCTGCACGACCTGCGAGGTGAAGTTGATCGCGTGGCATCCGAATAAGAGGTAGTTGGCGGGTGTAACTGCCATGGCGTAGCGCATAAAGGTGGCGGAGTAGAGGGTGAGGGCGCCGGTCATGCGGCCGGAGATACTATTTCACACGAAGTGTTAGTGAGGTGAGAGAGAGGGGAAGAGGAGGAGTGCGAAGAGGGAGGGGGGAACGATACATTTCAGGGTCTTTGCTCATATCCGCAATGGCCGCGATCGGGATACCAAAGTTACTTGCGGGGCCCCAGAAGTCTGTTTTGTAGGATATCAATCATCAGCAGTGTTTTCCTCGCAATTCCATAATATCTTCTCTTTTTTTATGTTCCTCAACTGTCAATCTACGTCGAAGACGCAGTCAAGTGCGTGCGTGCGTGCGCGTGCTCTCTCTCTCTCTCCGAAAACCGGGGTTCTAAAAACGTACGAGTCGAGCAAAAGTAATCCGTGTACTTGTTTGAGCGAATCTTCGCGTTGAGGGCTTTGATTGCGGCGGCCATGGTTGCGACGTTTTCCTTTGCTCGGGAGATTTTGCGTTCCTGGGACTAGAGGGTTGTATGCGGGCGCGCAAGAGGGGGGACGAAGCAAAAGTAAAGCTCGTGGTTCGGAGTTTGCGAGATGGGCTCGGAACGGGGACAGGGCTGGGTGCCAAGAATTTTGATGGGGCCGGGGCGGGAATAGATGGCGCACCGCAACCGCGAACCGGAGGTGCATGATTATGTACGGGAAGGACATCACGTGCAGGGTAACATAGTAGCTAGTAATTGACCATTGGGGTGGGTGTAGACAGAAGTATGACAATCAAAATCTTGAATTGCTGCGACTGGTTCGTATTGTGGCCCGTAGGCCAATTGGTATATCCTAAACCCCTCCAACTAATCTTTCGTACACGTATGATTTGGGTACGCTTGCCTTGTCAGTGTCATCTGCGGTTTTCAAGCACACCCTAAACCTTGGAGCACTTGCAACGTCTACGGTCTGCTGGACTTTGATCTTCTCAGTCTCCCGATACGCTCCCTGATATTCGCAACATGACCGCGCGTTGTATTTGTAACTCGCCAATCCCGACGCTTGTTTCTTCTCGTAAATTTCCTTCATATCTGCCCTTTGTTGTCCGTCTATCTGCCACCGAAACCAGGAGGTCCGCCACGACCAGGGAAACCTGGGGGTCCACCGAATCCTGGGGGTCCACCAAAGCCAGGAGGTCCACCGGCGGGAGGGAACCCAGCTGTCAAGAGTTAGCAGACATTACTCAAATATATCTGGAGAGACGTACGTGGTCCACCAGGTGGTCCGCCACGGCCTGGGAAGCCAGGTGGCCCTCCAAAGCCTCCAGGTGCGCCAGGGAAACCACCTCCAAATCCAGGACCAGGAGCTCCAACGCCAGGAGCTGGTCCAGTAAGGCCAACAGGGAGACCACGTCCAGCAGGCCGAGCGACACCAGGTCCAGCAGCCAATGCCGCAGTAGTCGAAGGTCCAGCGTTTGCTCCGAGACGCGCAGCGGGGTCCGCAGGCGGTGGTCCATCAACTGACAGTGAAATAACATGAGCACCACGAATAATGGTGAGTCCAATGGCGCGTCGTTCTTCGGTTTCGGTGACTTGCTGGGTTGCGCCCGGTGCGGCTTTGCCCTTTCTCCGTGTGCGGCGGAATTCTTCTGTGTCGGCGAGTACAAGATTCATGTGCTATAAACAGCGCGTTAGTTTACTCTTTCCAAAGAGAGAATGCGACACTGACCTTGTCGAATGCGAGCATCTGCCCGACCATTTGCCTACCATCTTGAAGAGTTACCTTCATGCGGTAGTTGATCTAGTCATGTAAGTTGGGTGCGATTGTGAGCGGAAATCTGGAGCGCTTACTAGATTTTGCTATATCATCGAGCGTCAGTCAGTTTCTATGCGCATCTTTCTCTCAGGTCAAGGCCTCGAGCTGCTAGGCAGATTTACTTACCATCTTTCCTTGACGGTTTGCAGCGCCCGACATGATGTATTTTGCGCGTCCGGAGACGACTTGGAAGCTCGAAAAAGAGGTATATGGGGTTATTGAGGTGCGATCCCCGTGTAGTTGGCGATCGGCGGGGCGTCTGGAGCTGTTGGTGTTCGCAAGACAAAGTTCATGTTCGGAGCTCTGACATGCTGGCACGTGACCGGCCTAGTCTCGCTTAATTCGCGCCCTCCACAGGCCAAATGGATTTCGTGATCGCGAATTCCACTCCAGCGACTTCGACAGCCACCCACGCCTACTAACCTCTGCAGTCAATCACAATGGTACGCAGCAAATATCGACGATAATTTGCATCGCGCATGCTAACAGCAATGGCAGTCCGACTCCAAGGCCTCCAACCCCATGCGGGAGCTCCGCATCCAGAAGCTCGTCCTCAACATCTCCGTTGGCGAGTCTGGTGATCGTCTCACTCGTGCCGCCAAGGTGCTCGAGCAGCTGTCTGGTCAAACTCCCGTCTACTCCAAGGCCCGCTACACTGTCCGTACTTTCGGTATCCGAAGGAACGAAAAGATTGCCGTCCACGTTACCGTCCGTGGCCCCAAGGCCGAGGAGATCCTCGAGCGTGGTCTCAAGGTCAAGGAGTACGAGCTCCGCAAGCGCAACTTCTCAGAGTCCGGCAACTTCGGTTTCGGTATCAGCGAGCACATCGACTTGGGTATCAAGTACGACCCTAGCATCGGGTATGTGGAACATGGAAAGTGAAGGCAGGAGAGGCAATGGCTGACTGGAGCAGTATCTACGGTATGGACTTCTACGTCTGCATGACCCGCCCCGGTGAGCGCGTCGCCAAGCGCAGGAGGTGCAAGAGCAAGATCGGCCCATCCCACCGCGTCAACCAGGCCGAGACCATCAAGTGGTACAAGAACCGATTCGAGGGCATTGTCCGATAAACGTATCGACGGAGCGATGAAGAGGGGAACGAAGTGAAGATTCTGCACGATAACCAGCATTTTCGGTCTCGGGGGTTCGGTCCAACGGAGTCCTGGAATGTATCTTACAAAAAGAGCAAGCATTGAACTTGCGGCCTATCAATGGAGCTTGGCCCTTGTCTCTTATGAGCGGGTCTACGACCACATATACAATGGAGGCTTCACTAGGGTGAATGTTCCGCATAACCATTGTGTGGTCATCTTTTGCTCGTTGTTTTCCGCTCGTGACGTGTGTTGTTGGTCTTGAAGTAACTACTAACCTTCAGGTTTTCGCCAGGAACCTTACCAATTGCTTTCGCATGCGCATATGGATCACCATGGGCTAGTTTAGTCGGTATGCGACTTGTATTGTGACACTTCCGGAGATTATCAAACCGGAACGGGTGCTCTTTCCAATTTGACGTCACAAAATCTTCTAACCATGAGCAAGCACGGTTCAGTACAGCTCTTCTTACTTAAGCTAACCTACACCAAGTCAACTAACAACTATTTACCCGTAATGCAACAACTATAGCGAAAAGGATATTGGGACTGCGACTTGACTATGAAGTATGATTGGCACATTTAATGACTACTATGGTGTTCCAACTGGTGATGAAACTAGAAATGATTTTCGAAATCTAAGAATCTGTCTGTAACCCTATTCACCACTCTTCTCGTCTTGCTTGACATCTACAGCGCGACTCAATGTAGCAATCTTCTTACACAACACCTTAATTGTCGAAGTCCCCATAACATCCAACATGGGCACATCCGCCTTGACCTCCCTCGCAAGGAACGTCCTGAACTCTATAGCCACTAGCGAATCAATACCGTTTGCGCTTATCGACTTGTCCTCATCGATATCTGCCGCTGCTACCGACAGCAAACTCGCCAGTTTGCCCTTCACCGCCGCTGTAATGATGTCAGCTGCTTCATCCAATGTCTTTGTCTGAGCAAGCAAGGCCTCGACAGGAATCTCGGTGCTCTCAGACGACGCCGCGCCAGTCAATGTCTCACTATTCAGATGAGCAAACAGTGGGAAACTCATGAACGACGGCGTCGGCATTCCCTTGTGCCGGTATTTGTCTCTGTTAGCCAAACCTGTAACGATTTGTGCAGGGGGATTCTGGCGTGGATCGATGCTGTATTCGAGAATCGCGTGTAGTTCTTCTTCACGGATCTGCTCGAGCTCCACGCTTACGCCTTTGTTGATGGCCACACGCGAGGAGTTTTCGGCGACGTAGCCGACGGAGAGGATTGCACCGACGTCGATGGTGGAGGCTGTGAGACCTTGCGAGCGGCGGTACGCTGCGAGGGCATCTTGGTAGGTGTTTCCTGCGGCATAGTTGGCCTGGCCTCGGTTCCCGAGGATACCGGTTGCGGAGGAGAGGAGGACGAAGTGGTCGAGGTCTTTGGGGAGGTGCTCGTGGAGGTTCCAGGAGCCGAGTACTTTGGGGTTTATGGCGGACATGTAGTTTTCGTAGGTCATGTTTTCGAAGATGGAGTCCTGGAGGTGGGGGTTAGTTGAGTTCTTTTCTACTGTAGTGGTAGGTCGGTGATAGACTTACTGAGAGTTGCATAGCTCCCTGAATGACGCCCTTGATGGGTGGCAAAGATGACTCGCATTCCTTCAGGACCCTCTCAAGATCGGCTGAATCAGTGACGTCGCATTTTTCAATGCGGACCTGACATTTTTGCTCGACCAGCTGCTTTTCCATCTCGGCAACGGCTGGAGTGATCTTGCCACTGCGCGATAGGAACAATAGGTTGCGAGCACCCCTGTTCACCATCCATCTTGCAATACTTCGTCCCAATCCTCCCAGTCCACCGCTCAGGACGTATGTTGCGTCTGGCTTGAAGTAGAATGGGGTTTGCTGCTCCGGCACGATCGGGACAATATCGTCATCGTGTGGGACGAACACCATCTTACCAGTTCCACGACCAGACTGTAGAGTCTGAAAGCCTTCAACCAGCTTCGAAAGTGGGGAAACGGTTGTTGGTTTTGCGGTTTTGACAACGCCCTCGCTCCAAAGGCGAACTGTGTCGTCAGTGAGCTGCTTGACTAGTTGTGGCCGACACTTCATCATTGTAACCAAGTCGACGCAAGTCATGGAAGTGCCTCGCAGAAGAGGTCTAAGCTCGATCCTGGAATTGGCTTGAATGTCCTTCTTTCCGATCTCAATGAAGCGACCGAAGGGTGCGAGAAGTTCCCAGGAGCATCTCAAAGCCTGAGAAAATTTGTCAGCCAAAAGGATCAATGAGTATTTGCGATATTTGGTGCACGTACATCTCCAGCAAGTGAATTGAGAACCACATCGACTCCATACCCGCCAGTCACTCGCAGGATGCCCTTTGCGAAACTCAAGTCTCGACTCGAGAAAATGTGATCTTCCGGGATACCGTAGTTTTGCACGAGCACCTAAGCTCAAGTCAGTAAGCAATTCCCTCTGTATAGATAAATCATTACTCACATCTCTCTTCTCAGGCGTCGAACAAGTAGCAAAGATCTCTGCCCCAACACTCTTCGCATAGTTAATCGACGCCTGTCCTACACCTCCCGCCGCAGCATGAATCAGCACCTTCTCCCCCTTTGCCAACCTCGCCACATCTCTCAGTGCATACAACACAGTAACATACACAGCCGGTAGTCCAGCCGCATCACTGAAGCTTAGCGAATCAGGAATCTTTGTCACGACCGACTGGTCCACCCGCCCAAATGTGTGGAAACAACCGACATGATCCAATCCAGTGATGTACGTGACGCGATCTCCAACCGCGACGTCAGTGACTTGCGAACCGACACGAGAAATGACACCAGCGGCTTCACACCCGATGCTGTAAGCCATATGCTCACCCATTGCGATCATCAGATCGCGGAAGTTGAGGCCCATGGCTTTGATTTCGATCTCGACGTGTGTGGGGTCTAGGGGTGTGGTGTAGACGGGGTCGGTAACCCATTGGAGGCGATCTAGCTGTCCGGGTGAGGCAGAGGATAGTTTGACTGGTCTTCCAGCGTCTTTCCAGGCTGTGGGAACGGGCTGGGGAGTGCTGAATTGGGAGGCAAGGAAGCGGTTTCCCGTGGTGCTTGAGTGGAGGCGGCTGGTGAAGAAGGATCCGGCTTTGAAGATGTATTCGCCCTGCTTTTCTTCTTTGGGGAGAGGGTTAGTGAATTGGAGGGTAGTGAGCTTGCTTATACATTCGATAAGGTTGGGTGTGTTGGGCTTGGGGTTTGTGATGGATAGGGTGACGAGGTTTGCGTCGTCGAGGTCTCGTTCCCATCGTATGGTGCGGATAAGACCGAGGGCCATGCTGTTTTCGGGGGTTTCTAGCATGTCACCTGTGACCCAGAGAACGGCGTGGCATTCTGTAAGTACCTTTCGGACGCCTTCGTACTCTTCTGAAGTCAGGGTGGAGAGAACAGGGCTGTTCAGTTCCAGGAGTGAGACGCATAGAGTCTGGCTCAAATCTTGGTCTTTCAGCTCGCGGATTGAGGCGATGGAGATGCTTCCACTCTGAAGTGTTTTCTCCAATTCCTGCTGCAGCCCTGAGATCAAATCCTTGTCCAATGATTCGGGTACAATGATAACAGCTCTGCCCTTTTGCACTTCCAACGCCGCATTCTGCTCAACAGCACGTGACACAAGAATACTCTGCGTATGCGACACATCAATCTGGGCATCTTTCAACTCCAACTCAACCCCATCAAAGCCAGCTCCACTCAAGATCGTTGCCCACTGGTCCTTTGACGCGAACGGACTCCACTTCCTCGTTTCCTCTTTCGAGAGCCACCAACCACTCAGCTGCCCAAACGCCAGTGCTGACCAGAAGTAGTCCTGCCTCATACCCTCTTGGATCAAAATTCGTCCACCAGGCTTAAGCAACTTCCTCAAATTTGACAGCGTAGAATGCAAATCCTCAGTCGCATGAATAACATTCTGCGCAACGACAACGTCGTAAGTTCCGGCCTGAAATCCCTGGCTCTCAACATCCTTCTCAGCATGTAGCACCTTGTACTCAAAGATGGAATTCCACGCCTTGAATTTCTCGCGCGCCTTATCGAAGAAGGCAGACGAGATATCCGTATAGGTGTATTGCAGCACGCTAGATTGCAACAGCTGGCCGTCTTCAGATACCGGGGCAAGGTTCCTGATCACAGCTTCGGTGGACGATCCGGTTCCAGCGCCGACTTCGAGAACGCGTAGGTTGGTCCGGTTTTCACCGAGGATGTGCAGGTATTTGGATAGGAGCTCAGGGAGATCGCCAAGGCGCACGAGGTCGGCGTAGACTTGGTCGAGGATGTCGTCCTGACCGAACATGAGTTGGAGGGGATCGGTTTCGCCGCGGAGAACGGAAACTATGTTTGAACCCATGCGGTAGGCTAGACGGCCTTCGGCTTTGTAGGCTTGAATTTGGGTATAGATGTTGGTTTTGGCGGCGTCGTTGTGACGAATGGCTTCGAAGTCGGAGCGTGGGACTGATGAGATTTTGTCTTCTTTCGTCCAGTGTTCGAGTTGCTCTAGCCAGTTGAAGTAATTTTGAAGATGACCTTGGAGAGCCTTGGGGGCTTTTCGATACTCGTCCAGTGCGTCGTGGACGAGGCAGAGAGTGGCTAGTTGCAACCGGTGTACCCATTCGGCTGTCAGACTGTCGGATCCCACGGGGCGTTCCTCTGGAACCAAGTCTGCTTGAGAGATTGTCTCGAGATAAACGGGCCACTTGACCTCGTGGCACAATTCTCTGCTAGTTGCTGCTCGCTGATCGGCAGAGTCGAGTGGTGTGGCGCGAATACCGGTGACTGAGATTCTTGCATCTCCAGTTTCCTCGTCCCACACAAGTACGTCGTTGTCATACTTCTCGAAAGCAACTCGCTCAGTTCGACCATGTACTTTGTACTTGTGGCCAGGCAGCGGGTTCAGGTCTGCTGATAGCCAGACATCCTTGATGAATGTTGGAACTGCCGGGTTCTCCAGACTTGTGGCACCGAAGAGATCCATGATAGCGGCAAGGGCGAAGTGTATCATGCTGTCAAACGTAGCAGGATGTATCAGATGTGGCGATGCGTGCTGCCTGGGCATTGACGCTGCGATATCCGGCACTGTCACTCGCCCAATGACTGCTCCGCCTTGATCACCAGTGCCCCTAGCGTCTGACCCATTGCGGAACAATGGGCCAAATTGAAGTCCTACTGTGGCCATATTCTCGTACGCACGGAACATGTCAAACGATGCCTGACATTTGTGCTCGGCATCTTGTAATTCTCGGCGTCTTCTGGCTGACTCCTCTCGAGCTTCTAGCCCATCGTCAACTGGACCAGTGATTGTAGCATATTCCACAGCAATGTATCCTGTACAATGCTCGATCCAGTCATCGCCAGCAGGATTGTAAGACGAGATTTGGAATCGGCGCCATGTGTTTGAGACTGTTATGCTGGATTCGTCCACCCGGTTCATTGAGAGCATTACTTCCAGCCCGTCTTTACTATCCGGAACAATCATTGCACGTTTGATAGATATGTCTCTTAGGCGGAAGGAAGTGATTTCGAGACCTTCATCAGCGATCTGCTGGATTGCTTCGATAGCCATGATGAGGTAACCCACACCCGGATAGACATGGGAGTTTGTAACAATGTGATCACGCAGCCAGGGCTGTTCGTTCAGTCGAAGTACGTTTCTCCACTGAGGGCGCTCTTTGTTCCAATCTGGTACTGGTGCGCCGAAGAGGTCATGGCGAGGCGCTTTGCGGAGCCGGTAGTTGCGACTCAGACGGCTTTCGTACCAGAGGAGTTGAGAGTGGTTGAACGTGTAGCCAGGTATGTCAGTTAGTAGGGCATTTGGCTCAGACTGAGTGCATTCGTTAACTTTTTGAAGGCTGATTGGATATCCGCGAGACCAGATGTGTCCCAGTGCAGTTAACAGCGTCTCAGGCCCGGGTTTAGATCGATTCAAAACGGGGAACGAGGTTATACTTGACCCGCTGGGCTGAGTAGCGAGGATATCTTTGATAGCGCTTTGGAGAGCGCCGTGAGGACCGAGTTCCAGCACAACATCCGCAAAATGGTTGCCTCCCTGAGCATCAACTCGGAGTGAAACCTGGCCTTTTTGTGCGGATCGGAAACATGTCGCTGTCAAACCATCCGAAAATCGAACTGGGGAAACCAAGTTTTTGACCCAGTGTTCTGCATCTAGAAGTTCTTCGGTAACGAAAGCTCCGGTCACTGTTGAGACCATTTCCACGGTATTCGGTGAGATGGATGTATCCGGTGAAATACCGTCCAGAAGTGCGGCATACTCTTTCGCAACATGGTCCATGTGCGGCGAGTGGTACGCTTTTTGGATAGTCAACTTTCTCACAAAGATTTCCTTCTCTTGTAGCAAGTCGTGCAGTTTTGAGACCAGATGCTCATCCCCGGAGATAGTGCAGTTTCTCGGACTGTTGCTGCAGGCGACCACCAGAACCCCTTGCTTAGCCAAAGCGTCCACATATGGCCGGGCATCATGTTCGGACAAACCGACAGCCAGCATCGTGCCCTTTTGTTCGCTTTGTTTCGCAGATACTACTCCTCGGTAGTATGCCACACGCCATGCAGACTCACGAGTCAGCTTTCCGGAAACGTAGGCTGCAGCTATCTCTCCGGAACTGTGTCCTACAGCTCTTGATGGCTTCACGTCCCATGACCTTAGCAGATCTACTAATGCCACCTGGACGGCTGTACACGCGGGCTGTGATAACCAAGGCTCATTGACATTGCTTTGTTCTTTTGTGTGGGACAGTTCGTCGAGAAGAGACCAGGTTGCGCCCAAAGATGTAAAGAACTGACTTGCTTGTGTTATGCTCTCACGGAATACGGGATACACGAAGAGTTCTCGGCTCATCTCTGCATATTGAGCTCCTTGACCCGTGAAGACGTAGGCGATAGATATGGGTCCGCGGGCTCGGATAGCTTTTGTATGAACGTTTGGAAGGGCCTCAACCATATCAGAAGCATCTCCAGCAAGAAGAAAACTGCGCCAGCTGAACTGAGAACGCCGATTCAAAGTATTAGAATAGTCGTTTAAGAAGGATGGAGGGTATGTAGAACGGGACTTGAAGAAGGCGAGCTGTGTTTCGGCATTCCGTGACACGCCTGCTTCATCAAAGGCGGAGAGTCCAATGAGTTGAGGAGGCTTTGGAATATGTTCAGCCGACACCCAACTTCTCAGATTATGGGCTTTGTCAACACCATTACCAGCGTGAGCATGGCCGTTGGTTTTCGATGGTGTGTGGGTCCCATTCTGTTGTGGAGCACTCTCGTCTCCATTCAAGTGTGGGGTTTCGCTGAGCTGCTCAGAAGGGGCTATAAGAGCTTCCGCAGCCCGGCTCAGAGAATCAATCTTCTCTATGGAAGGTGCTGTAATGGCTGTGCGGTGATTTCCAGTCAACTCACGATCTTTCAGATAGTGGTAAGCATCATCCAGGATAGCATGTGCATTCGTTCCTCCTACGCCGAAAGAATTAATTGACACTCGGCGGAGACCTGACGTAGGCCATGGAACAGCCTTATCGGCAATAGAAAGATTCCATTTCTCGAAGGGAATCTTGGGGTTTGCCTTTTCAAAATTGGCTTGTGGCGGAATGACACCATTTTCTAGTGCCAGTACACTTTTGATGATTCTATACATGAAATAGTTAGCTATGTTCTTTGTGCTAAGTGTGATTTCCGGGGAGGTCATTTGGAGGACGACATACCCTGCAACACCAGCGGCACCTTCCAAGTGGCCTACACTCGCTTTTACTGAACCTAGATAAAGCGGTTTATCTTTTCGTCTCGACTTGAATGCCTGTGCAATTCCGCGGGCTTCAATCGCGTCTCCTTGTTTCGTGCCAGTACCATGTGCTTCTACTAATGTGGTATCGTCAAAGTTTAGTCCGGCAGATGCGTATGTGGTTCTTATCAATCTTTCCTGTGCATCGCTACTTGGAAGAGTCAGGCCTGGAGTACGGCCGTCTTGGTTGATACCTGTACCACGAACGACTGCACGGATAGTATCACCGTTACGAAGGGCATCGCTAAGACGCTTTACAATTACTGTGCCTGCTCCTTCTCCACGAGCAAAGCCGTTAGCGCGGTGATCGAAACTAAAACACCGACCATCGGGACTGAGGAAGCCTTGATGCGACATGCCGTTAACGTCGCCTTCAAGAAGATATGATGGTTAGCGATTGTGAAACAAAGTTATCGTAGCTGCGACTGACCAGGATAATTGAGGATTGTTACTCCAGTAATGATAGACATATCGCTCTCCCCTGTTCGTAGACTCTGGCTACCAAGATGTAAAGCAGCCATGGAGCTCGAGCACGCTGTATCGATAGTTACACTTGGTCCTTTTAGGTCGAAGAACCACGAGACACGATTGCTGTGCATCGAGTTGGTAAGGCCAGTGACGCGATGTCTCAGCGTTGTCTCTGGATCGCTGTTCAGGATGGCTAGGTGGTCGTGGTTGAAGCCAGAGACGTAAACTGAAGTATTGGATCCTGCGACTTGCTCCAATGTGAAACCGCTGTTTTCAAGAGCAAGGTACACATTCTCCAGTACCACGCGTTGTTGAGGGTCAAGTGACATGGCTTCGCCTTTTGTGATTCCAAAGAATGAAGAGTCGAAGTATGCTGGATCTTCGGCAAGAAAGTGACCGCCTGGGAAATGCAAAATACTTTGGTCAGCTACCAGTGTCCATAGATCTACGTATTGTGCGTATCGTACCTGCGACAGCATGTGTACCGCCATGTTCAGGATCAGGATGGTAATGTCCTGGGCCCATCCGGTCTTCGGGAATTGGTGTATGGGCACATCTCTTCGCCAGTAAAAACTGCCATAGTTTTTCTGTGTTATAGGCTTCTTGCGGGAAGCGGGTTGCAAGACCAACAATGGCTAAAGGTTCTGCTGCTGAAGCAGGCTCAACAAATGACACCGGCATTTTTGGATTGATGTTTTGACGTGAAGAAAATTTGGACCTGATGCTTTGGCATGTTGCTTATAAAAAGAGCTTGCACGCTAAAATTTCCAAAACAGTCCATTCTCCTAACTTTGATGGATACTTGATTTTCATCGTATCCGCTGTTACCACCAATTACCATATTACCCGATCTAATACAGTCCAATCGAAGATCACCTCCGAATATCTACATCCTTGAAGCCTATACAATGACTCGATGTAAGCTCTTCAGTACAGCCGAGACATGTAGGGGAATGGGTCCGGTGATGGTAGCCGTCCAGGATGTGTCTCATTTCGTATTCTAAACTCCGTTTTGCTGGTATGACAGCGGTAGGGAGGTAAACTGGAGCCTTAGCGGGCGAATTGATTGGATAAAGGGGCATTTCAAGATTTAGTCAAGAGCACGCAGAGTATAGCGCATTTTAGCATAGTATCACTGTCATGCTCAATGGTGAAAAGCATGACTGAATTTGGAAAGTTGTGTCCGGAAGAAAAAATGGGGTCATTGGATTCGATAGTTCTCTGTTTGGTGGAATACATATGAACTACATGGGCGATATCGGAGACGTTCTCAATTTTCGCCTATGTGAATGATTTCTAAGATCGTCAGGTTTTTAATCCTACAAAATTTATTCGGAACAGCTCAAAGGAGATGTAACAGGCCCCTGCGTGCATACACGCTACTGCAAATCTTACCCCAGGCCGCTGCACTCCACCTCAAACTTCGGCGGTATGTAGCGGTCCGATTTCAAAAACCGAATTCCCGCATGATCACACCACAGCTGGTCAGTTCTGTGCCAGGTATCCATTGGCACGTTCTACACACATTCCTAGCTGATAACGCTAAATGACCTGTCCTCCGCATCCTGTTCAAGGGCCTGTTCGGTTCAGCGCAGTTGTTGATTAGCTAGACCTTTACACCCGTAGTTAGATTTCGATACCGCCCTTTCACTGCGTGACTATACTAGCTACACCTAGACCCTTACGTGGCTATGGAATAGGGCTCCAACTAAACAGTCCGTCCGTTCTCTATCCTATTCCAGATAGGCCTAGCCGCAACGCTAGCCAGCACTCCCCTGTCGAAGCTCTAAACCCAGAATGGGATCAAAACGGAACCCGAAAACCAAAAACCAAAAACCGAACAAGCATCAATTCTTCCGTATTGTGGGGAAGAAACGGGCCGGCTACTGTGTCCACCGTGGGACCTGCATCTCTGAGATGAGAGCATGATCTGAGAGTAAAGGGACGAAAATGGGTCTCTAGAGGAATTTTTGGGAGCGGTAAAATCAGTCTATAGAGCATCTTCCTAACGTCTTACATAGTCCACGCAACTATATTGGCACTATGGTCCTCAAAACCCAGTGGCAATACCCAAAGGATCTGCTTGGATTGCTTTCTCTCATCATAGGACTGATCGTGGCAACGATCCTTTTTACCTATTCCATCTCCTACATTTACAGCTTCCAAAGATCCGGGCACGAAGGATCTGAGCCGCCTTTACTGCCCTATTGGATCCCGTACTTTCAACATCTGCCTGCATTCCTTCTAGACCCGGCAAGCCTCTATGAACGTGGTAGAGAGTACTTCTCAGGGAAACCCTTCACTCTCTTACTAGCCGGGACCAAGTTTTATGTCTTTTACTCCCCCGAATCTGTCAGCCATGTCTTCAGTCGGTCTCGATTGTTCACTTTCGAGCCCGTCATGGCAAGCATGATGGAAAATGCTGTTGATCTTCCACCTCCAGATCGACCCAAATTCGTTTCATCGACAGCGGAAGGAAAAGATAGCAAATTCCTGGCCGAAAACCACAACATTTGGACACGCAATCTTTCGGGGAAACGCCTCCATGACATCATGGAAATCTATATGTCGGTGCTCCCTACTGTTTTGGAGTCGAACATCGATCTTTCGAGTGACAAGTGGCAAAAAAAGAGCTTGTACCCATTTCTTAGGAAAATCATCTTCGAGACCAGTGTACAGACTTTTTTTGGTCCTCGTTTGATACACTTCTGGCCCACTATGTGGGACGACTGGAGAAGATTCGATGATGCTACGTACATTGGTGTACGATCGAACTTAATATTCAACTTACAGCCCAAGACCCATAAAGCACGCGAAAGGATGTTCCGAGCATTTGAGCGCTGGCTAGATGCTGCTGGAAATGATGAGTGGAAAGACACGGATAACGTGTGGTGTGAGAAATGGGGTCTCCGTATGAATTGGGAGAGGGATGTACTTGGCAGGCAATGTGGCTTTACGAAAAGAGGAAGGGCATGCTTGCAGGCAAGCTTTCTTTTTGTGTGAGTATACGGACGTTGTTTGCAAGCTGGAGAAACTGCTAATAGATTGCAACAGAATCGTAACCAACGCTGCCCCAATGGCTACTTGGTTTGCATACTGTGCTGCATGCAACCCGTCTCGTCTAGCCGAGTACCGTGACGCCGCCACACCTTTCATGCTTTCTCCCTCGACCCTCTCAGGCTCAGCTTCAACGCCTCACTTTGATCTTCCAGCTCTCATCAAAAACCCGTTTGTTCAGTCCCTCTGGCTGGAAGCATTGCGCCTAGGAACTATATCTGCAGCCGCACGAGTTGTAACCCGGGAAACCACCCTGGAAGGTTATCTTCTTCGAGCAGGGTCGGTCATCTTGATGCCAGTGCATTTAATGCATTCTGGTGTAGAATTCCCAGAGGCAAAGAAATTCCAACCAGATCGATGGCTAGACGTAGACGAAGAGAAATTGAAACGTCAGAATATGGTGATGCGCCCTTTTGGAGGGGGCACAAGTTTATGTTCAGGCAGATATGTGGCGGAGATGGAGATTGTTGGCGTTGCGAGTGTGCTGCTGGAGATGCTCGACCTGAAATTTGAAGAAATACTTTCAGAGAATCAGTGGGAGTTCAATCCCAGAAGTATCGGTGTCATGGCGCCAAAGAAGGACGTTCTAGTCTGGATAAGGCGAAGAGAGAAGATGTAGACGTCCTCATTCCTGAACCTTTTAACTTTATTACTTTGTTCAATATCATAGTAGACTGATTAGATTGCCATATTTTCTTTCTCACAAATTTGAGAACAGAAAAAAGTTTTTGAGTACTTTTATGCTATAGCAGCTTTGAAACATAAGTTTACAACATTGATGTTCCGCATCGTTATCGAAGTTAAAAAAGTGGAGTCTATGTAGTATCCGTAAGACGCGCCTTGCCGGCAAGCCTAGCTGAACCGCTGACCGGGTACAACATGTGCCGGAAGCAGCTGGATAACATCTGCAGGGTCAACCGATTGCCCAGCCCTACCCTTGCTTCTTTTCGTAGAATGAACTTGACGATCTACCCACGTGACGTGCACGAGGTATTTATTTCGTGTTGCCGCGGTGACCCTCCCACATAAGGAGCCTCGCAATCTCCAGAAAAATATCAAATTATTATCTGGGTGCTATTCCTCCAATCGCGATTCGTCGCTTGGTTCAAATATGCAATTCACTGCGGCAATATTTTGCATACTTCTCGCCGTCTTAGGCTTCAAATCTTTACACCTCTTCGCGACATCCAATGGATTGTTAGGGCACCTGGAGCGCATAATCACGAACAAGTCTACCCCGGCGGGAAAACCTCTACGTAATTGGACCACTGGCGGCCGTTTCCCACGGATCGATCTTCAACTCAATGCGGTTGCTACGTTCCTTCTACTCTCCTGTGAAGATTACTCAGAGCCAGATGTGAATCTTGTAGGCTTTTGGTTTGATCTATCATGGGGTCCTTCGTGGGTTCTGATTGTATTGGAGAGCTTCAGGGAGTACAGTCGAAGCCGACTGATGTCTTGGTAAGAAGGAAGAGTGCGCACCCGACCCTTAATACGCTGTGCTAACCATTGCTATTTGTGAAAACAGGATTGCAATCCCAGGGCTCTTCATATTCAATCAGTCACACGCTGTGTTTACTTCCCTTTATCTGGCAATCAGATTGCTTGTTGCAGTTCCGGCGACCACTGAAGAAAGCCTGATGGTTGATAACATCCATCTCCATGCGATTCCCTGGAGTTTCTTATTAGGATATCTTCTGCCAATATCTCTCATGGCGCTGCCTGGAATATCCATTTATAATCTTAACACACAGCACATGCTCACCTCATTTTATCAGCAGTGGCATCTTTACATCAGTCTGGTCCATGTTCTACTGGTGACATTGTGGACCTATACAGGATCGATGGGCAGACTGGAAGACGAAAACTCCAAGGCCTCATTGTCCGCGGTCAGGCCGGTTTACGCTTTAGCCTTCTCTATGGCGGTCATCTCAGTTTGGGTTCCCATCCTTGTCTCCTTCGTCATCCGTGCACTACATCGAATCCGCAAAGCACATCCATCTAGCCAAAAGAATCTTCACATTTCCAGTATATTCATCCCACCCTCTCCATGGAGTAATATGAAATGTAAAAATGCATTTGAGGGAGGAAAATGGCTTCTCCAATGGGACGGCATAGTAGGAGGACTCAGTACCGCAGTTTGGGCAATCGCTTTATATGCTGAAGCTCGCAGTGCGGTCGAGCCACAGGAGGGATTAGGGTCATTTTGCACGAGGCTTATATGGTATATGGTCTTAGGCGGGCCAATTGGTGTTGCGACAGGAGCTTTGTGGGAAAGAGACACGCTCTTGCTGCAGTGAATCTAAATTTGCGATGGGTTGAAACACAGCAAACGATTTCAATATAGCTGAGATAGCTCACACTCCAATATATCTCACTATCCATCAATTTTGGTGATATCGATGTCATCTATTGGTATTACACTCCACGCCATTTTGACGTACATCCACGCTGTGGAACAGGACAACCGAAGCAGAACGTGCTTGAAAGCTGTGTAGGCGGCGCCACAAGCAGTTGCTCGCATCAAGGCTGTTGGATGAATGTTGACGGTACGAGCACCCTACGACTATGACAAAAAGGACAGCATGCAGGTGTGCATGAGATACACTGGCCCACCGACATTGATGGAAAGCATTGATAGGGGCGATCGTAGCGATCGCTACTAGGACTAGAAAATTCCAAGCGGCATCTATGATTAACCAAAGAGTGCCCACTATTGGCTTCCGACAAATCTCGGAAGAATTATGCTTGGGGCCCTAGTAACAATGATGACCTTTGAGTGACGTGGCCAGATGGATCTTTCGCAGAACGACTACCTAAGTAGCGACATACTGGAGTTTCTTGGCTGAGTGGCATTTTGATGCAGCGGTCCGCTTGAGGATTGGATGCTCCGCAGCTGCCGTCAAAGAGAGAGCATATTATGGAGACAAGAAAAACCGGATGGATGGCGGACCTAGAAGCTTTTGCGAGTCTAATGCAGCGCACTGACTTAGACGCTAGATGCTGTGAGTAATTCACTTGTGGAAGAAACGCCTTTTACCGGCTCCAGTACTAATCGGGCCGAACATCTGTACGGATACCTCGGAGCCATTCACCGAGTGTTATGCATGAGATCCTGGTAAGCACGCGAGCTGGTTTTCGTGACGTACATACTACATGAGACTAGGCTTTTGAGTCTTGTTGACATCAAGCCATTTAGATCCTTGTAAAAATGCTTGAAGTCAGGTCATTGGCCCGATATAGCTTCCATCCAGGTTTCGGATAGTAGGTAATTCGGAAGCGTATCACTGCGCGTGGCATGTTCATGCAATTCATTAACGTATATTACCGTTCTACTCCTAACCTCCGGTATATGTTCGGGCGAACAAAGCGCCCAATAGTCTAATAGAGTGATCGCGTATTCTCTAGGTTATAGTTTGCATGGTCAGTTGATTGAACGAGACTACGCTAACACTACAACTTCGGTGCCAATCGATACAAGCGACCCTCCCATGGCTGCAATGTGACTTCATCCAAGCCAGTCTCCGTCGATGCCGCAGCTGTCGTGCAAACGAGATGCATTAGATCTTTCCCGATTTGCGTCGGAGCCCGAGCTTCCTCGCTCGAGAAGTTCAATACCACTAGCATCTCGGTCTTTTCATCAGTGGTTGTTTTCGTATACGAGAACACACCGGGGTTGTCCCTGTCAACAAGACGAAAAAGCCCGCAAGCTAACACATCAAACATCTCTTTCCTCATCTGCATCATCTTCACCCAGAAAGAACGTATGCTGTTCGGGTTTCCAAGCTGCTCCTCGACATTTATGTGAGTGTAGTTGTCGATGACCTTGATCCAGGGTTTCACGTCACTAAATCCAGCATGCTCTTTGTCTGACCACTGGACTGGCGTTCTTCCGTTATCTCGCCCCCAGGTAGTAAGCGCATCAATTGACTTCTCCACCGCCTCAGCGTCTTTGGTTGGATCAATATCTTCGATATGTTCGAGGTCGGCGTTGTCTTTGAAGTCATCTCGCCCCCAATGTGATGGGACGTTGGTCATTCCAATCTCCTGACCCTGGTAGATGAAAAAGGTTCCGGAAAGGGTCGCAGCCATGAGAGCAAGCATCCTTGCGGCAGCTTCGCGATAGACCCCCTCACCTGGCCCAAAACGGGATACACTGCGAGCGAAATCGTGGTTCTCGAGGAATGCAGTAGGCCAGCCTCCATCGTCGAGAAGGCTCTGCGTCTTCAGGACGGCATCTTTGAATAGTGGTAGCTCTGGCTTTTTGAGCTCGTACAAACCATCTGTCCATTCATTACCCACAATGAAGATATCTGTATCGAGAGCCATCTCTAGTTCTTTTGATTCAGGAGATATGTATCGTAGGAATGTCTCTCGGTCCGTGGAGGGAAGTTCCCCAATCAACACGATGTCCTCTCCAAAGTCCTGTACGATTCTTTCCTTCAGCTCTTTTAGCCAGACATGAACCTTTTCGCCGTTCAAGCACCGCGATCCGTCGAGTGGTTGCAGCGCTTCTCCAGGATAAACTTCCTTTGCATCAGGATATGTCGGATCTTTCCAGTATAGCCCAACCAGATCCATCCGGAACCCATCCACGCCCTTCTCCAACCAAAATTTCACCGCGCTGTCATATACTGCGCGTCTCAAGTCGTCGCAGAACCAATTCAAGTTTGGCTGATAAGTAGTTCCAAAGCAGAAATAGTACTGATCTCTTGCTTCAACGTACTTCCATGTACTCTTTCCATACCGCGACCCTGTGCGCCAATTATTTGGCGGTTGTCGATTGCCTTCGCTATCATATTTTGGATCTCGCCAGATGTAAAAATCGCTGTATGGCCCTGACCGAGATTTACAACTCTCTATGAACCAGTGGTGTTTGTCGGATGAATGATTTGTGACCATATCCATGACGATTTTGATGTCACGTTTCTTGGCCTCTTTGATGAGGTTTTCCATGTCGGCAATGGTGCCATACTGTGGGTGAATGGATTCGTAGTCGGAGACATCATATCCCATATCTCTGTTGGGCGAATCATAAACGGGAGAAAACCAGATGAGATCGACTTCCAACGATTTGAGATAGTCGAGTTTGCTGAGAACTCCATTGAGGTCGCCTATGCCGTCACTATTCGAATCTTTGAAAGATGCCGGCCATATTTGGTAACCGATAGCAGTTTGCCACCAAGGTCGTGAATCTTGTGCCATCGTAAATTTGGAGATTTGGGAATAGAGCCGGGCGTTCTGTTATAGCACGTGCGGCCAGATTGGTGAAGCTTACAACATACGGGAGTATGTGTATTCTATGTAATATTTTGCATGATCCCTGAGAAAGGCTACCCTAGTAGTCGGGCCGCCGCCTATTAAACTACCGGGAAAACAATCCTGGAATGTTTCTCGTTCGTATTAGCAGCACCTGATGTCTTGCGGAACATCCGGTTGTATTTGGCTGCTGGTAAGCTCCCGCAAGCGCCCGCCAGAAGCCGAGAATCTGGAACTGGACAATCTCAACCAGATATTTTCTACAAACATGACTGGTTTTTGATTTTCTTTTTGGACATAGTTGAGTTCTGCTGCTGGGGGAACCATCTTCCACGTCCTCCGCGTCTACCAATTTCAATCACGTTGATGCCGAGACGGGATTGCATCGGCACAACATTGCAGCATGTCCAAGTTTTCGCGCCATCCATGATTCTCTACTGCCGATTTCTCAGTCCAAGCTTGTGAGGGTATGTCTAGTACCAGACCGTTGGTCAGGTGTCATTTCGTCCTGTCGACAAAACCACATACCACGTCAGCTGCGGTGGGGAGAAACTGGGGTCTCCAGTTTCAACATTGCTGGTGTGGAGGGTTGCAGTAGCATTGCAAGGATGAATGCGCCACCACACGATTGACCTATAAACGGTACGTCTTGGTTGTGGAGCTCGATTCGGGCCTATGCAATAGGCGCTTGAAGCGGAGCCAAGAACAACAACGTACCTAGGACATTTGCGACATTTCTCTGCTTTAGTGATAAACGGTGTGCGATTGGTGCTATTTCCCCCCTGACCCCCGCTAACACCCTAGTAAAACGGCTCCACACTAACTATAGATGCACGTATTCATCCCATATAGTAAAGATGGAGCTAAGAATTTTCACACTAGTAGCGTCTCGATTCTCGTGACAGGGCACGGGAAGAGGTATGCCAGATAGTTAGGTCCGTTCATTGTCGGTATACGGCACCAAGCTAGCGTCAAAGGTCCTTGCTAAACCTCTTGAGTAAGTTACCGCCGTATTCTAGGAGGGATATGAATCCTTCGCTTGTATTTTGAAGTCGGGATCGGAGTTTGTTTTTTTCTTGGGAAAGAGCTTAAGCCAGGGAAGCTATTCGTTATGAGGAGCAAGGAGTAGTTTACCCCAGAAAATCATACGTTTGTATGATACCTCAGAGTTCAGAAAGAATTTCTGTTTATCTTATTCTATGTCATTATTAGATATGTATGTACAAAGTTGAGATTGCAGACCTTTCCCTTGTCGACTTGCTCACTCTCACTATGATATGCTTCTATTGGCAAAGTTGTGTGACCGGATCTTTTCTACATAGTGCTCTCGGATTTCTCCCAAAAGAAGAATAGTAGAGGGCTTCAGGTTTCCGTTTTACGAATCAGTGTCTATGCAAATCTGGGGGAGCAGGGCAAAGCTGGCAAGACACAAGTGGAGGCAAACCCGAGACAAACAACCCACCTTTTCTCGACTCAGTCCGGGTCGATGCCCAGGCTGAACTAACTGCCACCCCTGACGCGGCAAATGGAGTCTTTTTTCGTGTTTAGAAATCATCGCCCAGCAGGGTTTAAGAAGTACGTGGTAAATTACCACGCAACCTGAGGGAGCTCACGTCCACGGAATATCCCGCCGCTCAGCTTGTACCACAGTACTCAGCTTTTTCACTGCTTAGCTTGTTCAGTAGTTAACTTGCACAGTGCTCGGCTTGCTCAGTCAATCAGTTTATCTCTTTATCTCACTTACCCTATCAAACAGCCTACTACTTCACTTTTCTGTAATTAGGTGACCAATCATGAAGATTCTTTGCCTTCACGGACGAGGCTCTAACAATGAGGTTAGCAAGATATCAAACCCCCTTATGAATTTCCCTCCTTCTAATTACATCCCCAGATCTTCCGCATGCAAACGGCTCCCATCCGTGCAGCACTAGAAGATTTTGAGTGGGTCTTCGTCCAAGGCACCGTCCGCCACACCGAAGGTAGGAAATACGAAATTACTACTTGGAAGAACATGATTAACATTCTGAATCCTTGTAACAGGAAACTGGTCTCTACACACGTCCGACTTTTCTAAGCTCCCTCTATACACATACTACAACCCGTTCGACCCCCAATCTATCATACAAACTCATGAAGAGCTCCTCGACATCATACGGAGCCATGGTCCCTTCGATGGTGTTTTTGCCTACTCTGGCGGAGCAGCACTAGCAGCTGAGCTCCTCATCGAAGCTGCTCGTTCTGAATCAGCTGTTGAGCCTCTATTTCGCTTTGCCGTCTTCGTGAACGGCGCATCGCCACTACGCGTCTTTAAAGTCGATGATGTAGACACGGTGAGCGGTCACGTTGACGTCTCGCAAACATTCCAACAGGCAAAAGAAATGTTTCTCCGACCTAGCGCGCTGCGACATAAGCCTGGTGTCAGCGAAGAGGATCAGGTGGATCATAAGAAGTTGCTAGGACTCTTGAGCAGATTAGAAGGGAAAATGATGGCGGATGGTACTGCCTTTTTGAGCGACGGTACATATGGGCTATGTCGGTGGGAGCAAAACAAGTTGCAACCTGCATTGATTGAAATTCCGACTCTTCATGTGAGGAGCACGGCGGAAGATCACACGGATCCGCATCATGGAAAACATCTGGTGGAGCTGTGTGATCAGTTTGATGTCGAGGAGATTCATCACGAATTTGGACATGATTTTCCTAGGGGAAGACAGTTGATGAAGCAGATAGCGGATGCGATCAGAGACATGGCTGAGTTGGCGTGATAGGGGTGGTCTAGGCAACACGATACCTTTCATTCTAGTAATTTATACCCATTACCATTGGCAAAGCTTGTGCAACTTGGAGATAGACGTCCAAGAGATTGAAGTTCCCCAACTACTGTTGTTCCGGATGCTCAGTTCCATTCTCACTCATCAAACGCTGCGAGACCGCCACGTCTCCTTTGGACTGGGAGCTCGTTTGACTGTCTGCCTGGTTGTCAGCGTACGGTTTATCCAGATCCACAGTTATTACTCTATGTGCATCATTCTTCGCCCATATTTTCTGCGAAGACTGCTGTGAGCTGACTTCTGGGTATAAAAGCGCTGTAAAATTGCGTCCCAGTGAGGTTTGGTTGAGGAACCATCTCATGCGATTCAACCCAGTGCGCTGTAGAAGCAGTAGTATGGCTGTAGCGACACTTATGACGAGTGCCAGCAACAGTAACAACATTGCTGGTACCGCGTAGGCGATATGGTACTTCGTCTTTCGTTGCAGCAGAGTGACGTTGGGCACCTCACGCGGACTGCTCTGGTCTCGAGATCCAGATGTGTCTGAACCCGGCGACTTGGATAACCAGGATCGAGTACCAACTACAGCGTTTGCAGCAATGTCTGTCCATATCAGGTTGATAATGTCTGCAGATAGTGTTGCTGTCCGCCCAAGTTCAAGCCACCGTTGATATAGAGCAAATTGACCATACCCTGAGTAGTCATGAGTCTCCGCGGGTGAAATTGATGAGCCTCCTAACAGGTCTCCGTAGATATACCGCATGATGGTGCTATAAAAGCTTGCTCCCGGTATGTTCATCGTGAGTTCTACAACTGTCCCAAAGATCTCAGTATAGCCAGGAAGCCATAGTGACTCCCTTTAAATAGTTGAAATGTTAGACTTCTTTGCGAACGCCGGGCTTAATATACCCCAAAATGGTGTTATATTCCCATAAGTCATGCCAGAGTTTTCCACTCCCCAAATCGGCATGGATGATGTGTTAGGATAGCTCTTTTCCGTCACATTGATGACATGCAGGTCTAGCAACCCTCCAGTACCATTATAAAGAAATGTCACAGTTTTGATACTAGCCCGGGAAGCTGATGCACAGGTGTACATTGGTTGTGTCCATGCGTCTCCGGGTTTGCCACGATCGAAACGGTTCAGATCTCGCCCTATCGGTCTCGGGGGGGGGGGGGTAAAGAGTACCCGTAGCTATCGCGATATTCGAAATGTTTGCTAAGGACCATCTATCTACGCGTCCTTGAGCAGAATACTCTTGCGTAGTAGATTAGGACGTGCACTTCTTCTGAGTCTAGTGAAGGTACATATATACATACCGAAGTATTTGAAAAGATCAGTTGTGACGTTATGAGGGTTCGTGTATATCTGATTGTGATTGATAAGGAACGTGTGGTTGCTGGCGATGTTGGCTGAAGAAGGGAGATCTAAATGTTGACCAAGCCTATGAAGAGCAATTCTCCCTGGTTTCGGGATGGAATTGGCTACTTTCCCACCATCTCCGCTGTATGTAGATGTTTTCGACTCATCTTCAAGAATGTATGATATCCCGACTGGTGCTTGTTCGTACATCCTGAATTCTCCCAGGCCGTGCTGTTCGTTCGTCAAATTCATATAGATCATGGTCAATGCGTTGCTAAACCCGGCTGCATACAGTGCTCTAGCATGAAGATAGATGCGGTCTTGTGAGCTGTTCATGGTTTGAATGCCTTCCAGATTGACCGTACTGTTCAGATTCGCGAATCCGCCACGATCTGTCAGCCGTAGGATGCCACCAGATCCCAATGTATGGCTTGTATCGTCTTCTTTAAGATCGTAATCAATCGTTAGATTGTTATCAACGCAACTTGTTTCGGGCACAACGAACAGAATATCTTCTGTCCATATAACTTCATGAGAAGGCTGAGAGGGAATGGTGTGATTACGAAAACCAATTCCACCTCTTTCCAAATCGACCACCAGCCCTTCGACGATCCTGAATCCATTGCTTGGAAGCAAGCCTTGTATCGTTCGGTAACCTCCCACTAAGTATGGAGATCCGTTGTCGTAGTACTTCTCGGTAGATGAAGATGTATCATTGTAGTAAGCGAACATACTTGATAAATTCTGCTGTCTGATTTCATAGGAACGCCACTGGATGTCGAAAATACTAGACACACTCTTTTGCATTGTTACTAGGCCACTTTCCCATAGGTTCTGTGTCTCCAAAGAGATGTTGGTGTAGTAGTAGCCATCTGTCCAGTTCCAGGTGAGTGTGCCATTATTGTCAATGGAGCCGTCTCGGGTGACAGAGAAGTTTGAGCGAGGACAACTCATTGATCCTTGAGGGCTTCCACAGATACGACTGAATCCCATATCATTTCTAGGAAGACTTCCATACCCGAAGGGTGACAGGTCTGACGCATAGCTGAAAGGCAGCCTTTGAGGTTTGCTAGACACCATTGCATCATAAAGACCAAGGGGCGTGATGACGGCGGTCACAGCGACTAAAACCGTTGTGAAGATGCCCAAGTAGACTGCGGCGACAACCGCAGGGTTCACATTCGCACTCGCTGACGAGTCCGAGTTGAGAATCGTCGGCCAGTATGTTGAGTGGAGGGTTCGACTGAGCGCGGACCATGTGACAGCAGTCTGCTGTACTTGATCGTGCCGCTTGTTGATGAAAGCGATGAGGATGAGCGGAATTGCCAGTGGTAAGAGTAGTTGCACTTTCCAGGTCGTTAATGACTTGCAAGCAGCTGTATACACCGAGGTTGACTTACGTGCAGTGGTGCCTGCAGCAATCAACGCAGAGACTTGACTAACAGACAGTGATGCCATTTTGTCGCAAATTGGGGTTGTTGTGGTTCGGAGGCAGGCGATAGCAGATATTGCTTATGTTTCAAGGTTTGCATCAATCATACCCAGGCAATGTTATCTTCATCTATAAGAGGGAATTTCACGGTGCGGCACATGTAGCTAAGGCTTCCGCGGAAGGCAGACCAGGCACAGCCACCTCCGCCACGTCGTGACCCAGATACAAGCAGTCGTTTCGCTATCTTGTACTTGCACCAATAAAGAGAAATCGTGGACGCCATGAGTCCACATTTTCTCACAGTTCAAGATTTAGTCGAACCGGTTGGGCCAGATTCCTGACCCGCACACTGAAAGTGGCATCATTTGTGACCATCGCAGCTACTGAATGGAGACTATGAAGATAGCGTCTCGGCAATGTTCAGCTGGTAGAGATCTGAACCAATGACATAGAGGTGCATCCGCGGAAACAACGTACATTTTGCCCTTGCTGTGACTCAGTCAAAAATTCCGAGTATCTGCAAAGAAAAGACAGTCAAATAACGTCCACGGCAACTCGTTTACCTGCTGCTTCATCTCAATAAACATATGATAATTGCTTTACTTGCTTTTAGAAAATCTTCTTAATTTCACAAAACTAAAAAGTGCATTGTATTGGGTAAAAGAAGTCGAAATTTTATTACACAATAGGAAAAGAGAAGAGTTCCTTCACTACAAGATAATTGATCGTCAAAGCAATCTTCATAGCAAAAAGCTTGACTAAAACCAGAACGCCCACAACCCATCCGAGCTCCAAAATAACACACTCGTATACTGTTTTTCTACAACAACCCAAAAACAGGATCCAACCATCTGTCGATCACATAGACGCACGCATTTCCCACGCACTTCGGCTCTCCCTTTACAGCCGCATTATTCACACTCGTAACAGCCCCATTGCCATCTCTCCTCACAACCGCCGGGAACCCAACAATTGACTTTTCACTACCAACCAACGTCGTATCTATGAACGGATACTCAAGCAAGTACGAAGTAAATGGCTGGTTGCTAGGCTGAATAGCCTTGGCACCTTGCCCCACAGCTTCAAGAGCCGCGTTACTCGGAGCGAATATGGAAATGTACTTGCCAGCGGGCAGAGATGAGTTAAGAAGGCTGAAGAAGGCTGGGGATGTTGCGTTCAAGAGATCTACATATGTCGAGATATCTGGCAGAGAAGATAGGGCCGATGCGATGGTTCCCGAGGGTCGCAACTCGTACTCTAAGATTTTCTTGGCTTGCCGACGTCTTGCGGATGCGATGTCAGATCCGTTTTTGGTCACATCAGTTCCAAAAATCGATACCAAGGGGTCGATTATTGAGGTGATTTTGAAGATTGCTCCGTTTCCAACAGCAGTACCTTGTGCAGAAACTAATTTGGCTTGGTTGTTGATGGTAACGGTGTTACCCTCGGACGCAAACTTGAGAGGTATGCCTTCGATGCTTATCACGGGCTTTTCCGAGCTGCGGACTTCTTTTGTCGTCACTAATCCTTCAGCAATATGAGTTCTCAGGATGGCTTCGAGGAGCACATAGGATGCCGGTGCGGTCAAAGCTGCTGCTAGTCCCGGTTGCAGCGCCTCAAATGCCTGTATCGATCAGAAGTCTACCAGATTTAAGATATGGCACTATCGCTACCTACAGAGTTGACGGGTGCAAACGCTGTGTACTTCCGTCCATCCGCGAGGACATTGAAGCGCTCTTCGAACGGTGGACCGGGAATTCCGCTAGTGCCTCCTGTACTATTGAAAAGACTATAGAAAATAGAAAGTTCTGGATCTTTGGATATTGCAGTCAGGAGGGGTAGCGTATCTACCGTAGCTCGTTCGACTATGGAGGAAGATGCGGGAACTGCTAACAACGCCACTGGACATATCCATTTGAAAAGCATCATGGTTTGTTGACCTTAAGCTTCAAATCAAATGTGAAGATCGTTATTTCCTTGGCCTGGTTGTCTTATGGCTGAGCCGAAGCTACGATCAAGATGGTGTAAATTTTAATTCAAGTTTTCGTCCCCGCTCATGTTATAAGTACGTTGGACTGGCTTCGCGCAAGCAGATCGGTCCTTTCAGAGGCTATATGCTTCCTTGGCGATGTATAAAGGATGATCCCACCCTATATTTGCCAAAGAAATATGTACTCAGTAAGAGCCATTTTGTTTGTTTCATAATTTACAGTCGTCGGCGATAATAAAAAGTAAAACTGAGTCGACATTAGGACCAAACGCATTAGCTTTATCCACTATCCTTGCAATGCCTTCATAGCAGTTTGACCAGTGTTTTCCGCGGATGAAATATCACGGTGATGAGGGTATCCCATCTCTGCAATCTCGGGGGTATTCAGCCCTCGAACGGGGTTTCCCACTCGAACGAATAGAGTTCATTGTAGTAAACTATGGTACGCGGTGCAACCAATGGCGTACAACAGTAACAGGGATCTGGGATTGTTTACCATGTTGAAAAAATGTTATTAGAATGGCAGTTGAATCTGCCGGTAATGGTGGAGAGATCGTATGTCGTCAGACGGAATGGCTCTAGAGTAGCCAATCAAGAGTAAGCGCCGATCGGAGGTTGACGGAAGGCAAGCATGCAGATGCATAGGACGCGTCTTGATCATGAGACTTCCACTAAACATTGTTGGTAAAATTAGAAGGAGATAAGTCGAGGCTAAATGAAATGAACGGTATGAACGGTATGTAAAGTACAGGATCTAGAGCCGAAAAGTAAGTTCAGCCCAGTGACAGACCAGGGTTCACTTCTACCCGATGTGACATCATCAGCAAATTACCATATTCACATGCTAAACTTTACATGATGAAACATAGCGGGCATCCCGCCTTGCATAATTGCAAGCGTCGCCCTAATCAACCCAAAAACCAGGCCATATCCACGACTCAATTTTGACGGCTCTTGCTTATCGCGCTCTCACCTAGCGTAGCAAAACTTCTCAAAACCTTCCTCAGCGACTCTGCAACTTTCTTAAATTGCTCATCCGTCATAGAGTACAGCGGTGTCAGAAGCAAGCAATGCTTGTTGGTACTCGCCCTTAGCACAATACCGTATTCTAGAAGCACCTTTTGCTCAATATCCGTTGCGATGTCAGAAATGAGATCGATCCCAAGCATGACACCAGTTCCACGGACTTGCTGAACCGTATGCAATCCCTCGAGCTCCGACTTGAGAATATCGAGAAACTCTCTGCCGCGCTTCGCAGACAGTTCAATCAAGTTCTCTTGGTCGATGATGTCGAGTGCGCGGAGAGCAACGGCAGAGCAGACTGGATGTCCGGACCAGGTGTAGTCATGCTGCCAGACATCTGACAGCATCATCTTAGTGCTGATGTTGTTGAATGCTGTTTTCCAGATGTCGTCACGATAAATCACGGCTCCGGCAGGGAGATAACCACATGTCAGACCCTTACTGATGACCATGATATCTGGGCAGACGCCGTACAACTCCATGCCGAACCAGTGCCCCGTCTTGGCAAACGACATGATCTCATCTGCAATCATCAAAATTCCATACTTTCTGCAAATTCGCTCCGCGAGTGGGAAGAAGTCGCGGTGCATGTCGACAGCGCCACCGTCGCCTTGAACAGGCTCAAAAACGAAGGCGGCAACGGTATCGGCGCCTTCTTTTAGAATCCGTTCTTCCAGCTCCCGTGCTATTCCAGCATTAGCAGCATGCCAAAGGATCTCACAAAAAAATATCACTTACCAGCCGCCTGCCCAACATTCTCTCCATGCTTCAACTTGCTCCTTTCAAAGAACAACTCATGTGGCGGATCGATATTACAAAACATCCTATGCGGGCTGCTCTCATACACATCACGGCCATGACCCTCCATCCACCTCTTCCACCCATAGTCTGAAAACTCGGGCTTCAAAGACGCAGGGATAAACGTGCTGCCATGGTAGCAATTGCGGAAAGAAATCAGTTTCTGTTTCTTGTAGCCTCCGCCATAGCTAGTACCTAGAGGCCCGGACTTATTCCAGTAGCGCAAAGCAAGATGGTACGCAGCTTCAATACCCTCACCGCCACCGGTAGTGAGGTACACGCGTGAGCCAGTCATTTTCTCTGGGAAAGCTTGAGCCGCGAGGCCAGAGAGGCGCTCGCAGAGTTTAACTGCATTGTTGTTGGTCAGGTTACGCTGGTTGGAAGAGACTTCCAGCTTGGTCATCTTTGCAACTACGTCAGTGTGAAGTTGTTAAAAGGCAATGTATCTGACCAACCTGCTCGAAAGCAACTTGCGCGAGATCCTTGCGACCGTGGCCAAGATGGGCGACGGTAATGCCTCCCAAGGCATCCAGATACTCTTTTCCCGTGACATCTTTCAGAACGGCCCCGTCGCCCGATTCGAAGACGATGAGCTGTCTTGGTCCCTTTTGCATGAGGGGATGACCAAAACCATGCATTTGATGCGCCTCGTCGGAGGCTTTGAGGTCTTCGTATGTGGCAGTCTCTTTACTTCCTTGTCCTAGAGTCACCTTCTCTCCGTCTTGGAGAGTTGCTCGGTCGTTAGAAGACATGGAAGCTGTGATTGAGAATGATCGGGAAGATAGCGGGGAAGCCCCGAGTGTTCGGAGCGACGATAGCAAGGGACGACGAATACGGAGAGAGAACATGGTGCAGTAGAGTGACCCCCACTTTGATGCGGAACAATCAGCTCATATGTTGTTCAAAAAATGAGGTGGGGTAATTGAATAAGAGCCATGTCATTTTTTTGTCAATGGGAGGCCTCAGACTCATGCATGCACCATCGTGAGAAATGCATTTAAATGATTCTAGGATTCATCATATCGTCATTCTGAAAGAACAATTAAAACTACTGCATATCGGAAACTCTACTTCCTTAGAGTTCCTTCAACTCTGGGGTGCCAGCAGCCCGCGGCTCCGAGAACTTCGTTTCAACAAAACATTTGAGTAAGCCACCCTGGCGCTTCTCCTGCATATAGTAGGCCTTTGCAATATCCTCAATCTTGAAGCGATGGGTCACCATGATTGTCGGATCAACCTCACCCTTTTCCAGCATTTCGAGGATTTCCTTCCAATCTGTTGCATGTTAGTATGTAAATCTCAGTGTTTAGAAATGGGGTTCCTACATTTCTGAACAGGACTCTGTCCGCACCCGATTAGTCGGATACCACGTTCCATAACCGCACCAATGTTGAAGTGGTTCGTAACTGTAGCACAATGAGTCCAAGTCCGCGGCCAAAAATGATTCGAGAACTTACATCCAACGTAATCTGCAATGATACCAACTCGTCCAAACTTCCTGGTCGAGTAAATGCACTCGTTGACCATCTCGGACGTGTCCTGCTCCATTCCAGATGCCAACTCAAGCTTGTGTGTCCAAGTCTTTGCATACTCTCCGCCGCTAGCCTCGATGCAAACGTCGACGCCTCCGGGGACCATCTCATGAATCTTGGCGGGAATAGACTGGTTCTTGAGCTCTTCATAGTTGATAGTCTCCAAGCCAGGAATCTTCTTCTTTGCAAACTCAGTGCGCCAATTGTTGTCGATACCAATGACACGCTTTGCGCCCTTCTTGAACGCCCATACGCATGCCATGAATCCGATAGGTCCAAGACCCCAGATGGCAACGCTGTCGCCTTCATAGACACCCGTGTCAGACACGCTGTGATAGGAAGTCGGAAGTACGTCAGATAGGTACAGACCTGTTTTTGATTAGTATCGTTCACTCGCGAGTCCAAGTCAACAACTTACCCTTCTCAAAAGGAATACTGTCCGGCAACTTCAAAAGATTCTGGTCGCCCAACGGTACCCTCACATACTCCGCCTGCCCACCGGCATATCCGCCTACAAAATGCGAATACCCAAAGATACCCCCCAACTTCTCGCCATACAGCATCTGATGGACGGTAGACGCATTCGTCTTATCACAAGCAGTCGTAAGGTTCTGCTTGCAAAACCTACACTCACCGCACGAGACAACGAAACTGTTCACAACGCGATCTCCGACTTTTCGCTCAGTAACTTTAGATCCGACTTGCTCGACGACGCCACAGAATTCGTGGCCGAGGATATCTCCCTTTTCCGTCTGGATAATGACGCCGTGCAGGAGATGCACGTCGCTTCCGCAGACAGTAGAGCCAGCGACTCTGACGAGTACATCGTGGTCCTCGAGGAGCTTGGGCTTGCTGACGTCCTCTATCGGGATAAATCAGTTGAGGCATTATGGGGGTTCTGGACGGATTGCACATACGAACACGCACGTCGTTCTTCCCCATCCACACCAACGCCTTCATCTTCTCGCCAGACGGGTCCGCATACTTCTTTCCATCGCGGTCAGGGTTGGAGATATCTGTTTGCGTCACGGTTTTCTGTTGATCGTGTCCAAGGACCTTCTCGGCCTGCTTTGCTGCAACGTTTTGAGCCATGGTTTTTCGTACTTGTTATTTCCAAGAAGAAGAAGAGTTGAGATTTGAGAGTTCGTGCTTGTTGTTTACAAGAAGATGAAGAGTTGAGAGTTGAGAGTTTGACCTGGTATCCAAGGTTCCCCCCTTCCTTATTTATCATGTCTGATATCGCCAATATACGCTCAACGTTGTAATAAAAGCATTCTGACGATGCGATGACGATTCAATGTCCAGTCACTGTTACGAGCAGCATATACAGCTTTCACGAGAGCTGAATGTCCAATTTCACGGTGTGACGTCAAAATGAAAGAGACGTTAAATCCAAATTACCTCGATCAGACGCAAACACCAAATAACGCGCTATACGGTCCCAACTTCCTTCGCTCCCAACTTCCCTCAAGCCTCACCTCCATCTCCCACAAACACAACGCTAATACACTCACATACACACCAAAAGGACAAAAGAAAATGCCACAATACCACCACCCTGGAGGCACCGTCTCCTACCCAGACGCAAAATCCCTCTATCCCTCCGTCCCCAGAGTCAGTTTCGGCCGCGCCGTCGCCATCGGTCTCTCCGCCGGCTTCCTCGGTGCCCTCGTGTAACTTCCTCTTCCCTCCCCCATACCAAACCCCCCAGATCAAACTAACCCTCCTAGAATGACCGGCACCAACAAAATCGAACAACTTATAACCCATCGCCCCAACTCCTTCGTTCCTGCGCGTACAATCGGCAACCACCTCGGTGTCAGCCCCTCCTTCTACCAGCGGCACACCTTGTTTCTCAACCACCTACACCGCTTCGGTATGGGCATCTTAGCTGGGCCGGTGAGAGCCATAATGTCGTACTACGGGGTAATTGGCCCGTTTGCAGCGTTCGTACATACAGGGGTGCGGATTATGATGGATCAGACAGTGGAATTGACTGCAGGGACGAGCGCTGTGCCGTGGAGTTGGCCGATTAACGAGCAGGTGATTGATGTGTTGCATAAGGGGGTTTACGCCATTGTGACGGGTTATGTGTGTGACAGGTTAGTAAGGGGGGTAGACTGGTTTAATAGATCGTAGGATCGAGATGAGAAAAAAAAGCTGTGGACTGGGGATGTATAGTGAAGTGGTAGATAAGGAAAAAAAAACTTGCGGATTACAGGTTTACGGGGGATGAGAATATTGTATGGTACATGAAACTCCAAATGAAATTTTGAAAATGTTAAAATCGTGACTTTAAGCGTTCTTGTCCATCCTCGCCTTACCCCTCTCCTCCTTATTCTCCGGTCCAGGTCGATCCGTCGAAACAGTTCCCTTCAGCTTCGCCGAGTCCGCCACACCCTCACCTTTCTTACTCTTCTCGGTCTGGTGTGAGATCTGCGATTTATGATGCGTGTCTGCATTTGAGAGGCCCTCTTGTTTGCCAGACATGTGGTTCAAGCTTGTTGGTTTGCCGCGGGGATCGGGCTGTTGTTTATGTTGGCAATCTTGACATCCTAACGAAGAGAAAGGGAAAAAGCACAAGAGTTTGGGTTTTCGGGGGGAAATGTAGAAGGAAAGATAACTGCAAGTAAACGAACCTTGTCATATAAATCCGGACTCACAGCACCTGGCTCCCCAGCCTTTTTGCCATCACGCGGCCCGTGGCCTCGAAGACCGCTTTCTTCATCGGGATCAGGACGACCAGCGCCAGGTTCACTGGGATCAGTTTTCTCTCTAATCTTTTTGTGGCCAATTTTTTCGCCGCTTTTGCCGTTCTGAGTCCCGGGTGCAAAGCCATTGTCTACTTGATCTGTTAGCCTCGGTTCAGCGGGATCATTAGGAGATTTAGCTGACCCTTTGAGGACTTGGTATTGCTCTCATTTCTGTAAGTGATTTCACCCACATTGGTATGTTGCGCTTTTGCTTGCTTGCTGTCGGCGTGGGATGTGTCTTGCTTTGTCACGAGATAAAGACTGCCAGCGGTACCGACGGCAACAGCTGCCATCCTGCGGGTACATGTTATTTTAGGCTCAATTTAACACTATAAGAGCTGTCAAACGCACCATGGGACATTGCTTGTATTCATTTTGGCGGGTGGGCCGCGCGCACTGGCATATGTTCGACCTTGAACTTGCACTGCATTTCGCAATGGGTGGAGCCTGGAAGCTACGCGCAACGTGGTTGATCGAAGTGAAGACATTGTGGATTGAAAATCAAGGATTGAGATGATTGAGACACGGTGGAATCTCAGACGGCGGTTTTGATGATATCAAGGCTCTTGGTGTTGCTAACACGGACGTATCGTCAGAGCGCGATAGTTGGTGCGTCACACGGGTAATCGCAACGTAGTGTAAGCGTCACTGAAGCACATCACAATGCGATTCCTAATCCGAGGACACTCAAATCTGGTCTCGTTCATCTAGTTTAAACTTTAAGAGGAGAATACCCAATCTCGTTTGAGTCGCTCCGTGTAAGGATAATCTGGTTAGGAATGGCGTCATCTCGACACCATGGTGATGTATGATGCGCGTTAACTGGCAACTCATCTCACATCTGTCACATCGCACGTAGATTCACAGGAAACAAGACTACGGCATATGCAATACCGATTGAGGAAGCTTCCAAGTGAAAAGAAGAAAATGCCTTTCATTAAACAGCAATGAATCGCAATCCCACGCTAACCCAAGTTGAAAAAAACGCCAAAGAACCCTTCTATAAGATAAACCGAAATGCCCCAGTCCTCTTATGAGCACTCTACACACCCTACTTCAATCCCCTCAATAACAAATGGCTTACTAAGCTCACTTGGCACATTCACCTTGCTCAAATCAAGATCCTTTACACTCCCTGTCTCGCTGGTAGTCTCACTACCAAGCGCAGAGTCGCTCTTGCGCCTGCGAGCCTCAGTCTCCTCTTCAATATAAGCATACTCGTCGCGCCAGTCACACAGCATCCTGCTGTTGACATTGCTGCCGCCACAGAGGACAATGACGACTTTGTCTTCGGGGCGGACAGGGCGACCAAGTGCTTTTTCGAGGCGGCCGTCGTAGCAGAGAGCAACGTTGATGCCGCAGGCGAGCTCGACCATGATGCGCTCGTCGTCAGCGAGACGCCAGCAGCCCATTGCGGCTTCGGCATCTGGGAGAACGACGCTGCGGACGTTGCCGCGCTGGGCGTACTTGAAAGTTGCGTCTGTGACGCGGGCGCAGCCAAGGCTGGTTGCTTGGGATGTGATTTTGGGGAGGGTGATGAGTTCCTTTGCTTGGAGGGCTGCGTGTAAACTCTCGGCTCCGGCAGTCTCCATGGCGAGGATGGTAGTCTTGGTCATGTTGAGGGAGTCCATGGCTTGACAGATGCCGTTGAGCAGGCCGCCGCCGCCGACGGAGCAGATGAGGACGTCGGGTTCCTCGCCGCCGGGCATCTGGGCTGCAATCTCGGTCATGCAGGTGCTGTTGCCTTGCCAGATGTCTGGGTGGTCAAAGGGTGGGCAGTAGATGGTTTCTGTTTGGGCCTGCGTGATGTGTTAGTCCAGTGAAGCCATGTGATGTGAGGTGGGTACGACGTACATAGGGCATGACGTGCTCCTTCAAGTATGCATCAGCATCCTTCCAAGCAGCACCATGTTGGATGACTTCATATGCACCGGCAGCCCTGAGCTTAGCTACCATCAAGGGTGCAGTAGCTGTAGGCACGACGACAGTGCAGAGTAGGTTGAGGGCACGAGCCGAGTGAACAGCGGCGAGGCCAGCATTTCCACCACTGGAAGCAAAGATGTGAGGGCGTGTGCCTTGAGGAAACTCTGCGAGACGACGGAGGATGTAGTTGCCGATGCCTCTGTTGCTGCATTAGTAAAGTGACAATCGTGAACAGTGGAGTTGATCCTTACCGTGACTTGAATGATCCGGAAGGCTGGAGATTTTCCAGCTTGAGGAAGACTCTGCTTCTGCGATTTAGAAATCTCTTTTCCTTAAGGGTGGGAATGAAACTTGGGTGACAGGGAAAGTGTGACCGTACCATCCCGCTGCTTCAGAAAGCGCATACGACTCCCTCAATGGAGTCTGAACCCAAGGGCTCTGGGCAGACTGCTCCTCAGTGTGGTACTCCTTGACAGCCATGTTGAAGATAGTAAACAAAGTTGGGGTATCACAAAAAATATCAAGAACAAGTGCAGTGTAAAAGTCTAGTGAAGAGTATGAGACCTGGAGCTTTCAAGGTTTGTTTCGCGGATGTCAACCTCAAGTACACAGGATTCTGATCTTTTATCTCTACCAAAATTCTCCTTATCGCTCCGCACGCACCCGCAACCCCAGAGTCAAGGTGCATAGGGCCAGTGGGGTAACTGGCTCATCACAACCACGATACCTAGTATTGATTACCCTATAAAGTGCATGAATTACCCTATAGATTCTCGATAAGGAACAGGCGACCACGTAGGTACCGCAGAATGACACAAGCATGAGACCCGGTCCTCGAAAAACCAGTCCCTGGTTTGCATTTCCCGATGCGGTTATCAGCGGCGGACTAGATTCTGCCGGGCGTTACCGCCCCAGATGGCGTTATGCTTTTGGCGGGTTTGCCTATCACAAGACGCGAACCAGTCGTTTATACAGGGGAGCTTGTCCAAAAGGTACCCATCCGATCACAGCTCGGCGCAACGGTGGGGATGGTGTTGGGCTCGGGAAAGTCGCGGAATCAAGAGGAGATCCCCGACGGAAAGGGAAACTAAAAAGTATACGACCGCATGGCGTGTCCTAGCCTGTTATCACGATCGGAATCTTCGCCAACAATGCGTTTACGGATACTACAGGCACCCCCAAAATGTACTCGCACTGGAATATGACATGTGTGGTGCGGATCCGCAAGAGGTAGAAATGGATCTGCGCAGTTCATGCTCGTCGACTCTACCCGACCCTGGTCTACGCAGCGACTTTGGGCTGTTCGAGCAAGCCCTTTCTGAAGTTCCAGTAACTTGCGCGTATCGGGTCGTATTTGGTCGCCAAAAGATCCAACGCCTGCTCGGCTCTCCTCTTGCCGTCTTCTTCTTCGGCGTAAATGTCGGCCAGGAGGTCCAGGGCGTGGCTTGAGTGGACATTGTCGGGGTCTTGGATGTCGGCAAACTCACCTGCAAAGTCCTTGAGGGTGGACTTGGGGAGTCCGGCTGCACGGAGGATTCCAAGGATGTAGTTCCACGGGCTCTGGTTCTGAGGCGCTTTGCGAATGGCTGCTTTTGTGTACCTAGTCGGGTTAGCAGTCAGCCATTTGCAGCAGCAGTAACAGCAGTAGCTCACTCTATCTCGCGGTTGGCAATGTCTGCGCTGGGCTTGCCTTTACGGCCTCCGACGACAAGGTAGTAGCGGTGGTTCCACGCCGAATTATTCCGAACATCTTGCTCAATCATGCCGTGTGTCCATTCCAGCTCTTCGGGTTTGTCAAACATGTCAAACCGTTCGACCAGCCATTGCCTGTAGCTCCACACGTGATAGTTCTTGGAGTCGAGCTCCAGCATGGAGCTGATGAACTCGGGCTCACCCTCTGGTGAGCCCAGCTGGTCAATGATGGTATGACGGTGATGCCAGATCTGGTAGTTCTTGAGGTGTTTGAGCGCAGTTGGATTGAGCCATGCGATTTCGTCCTGCAACGACCTGCCGATTTCGGATATGGTTTTCACGCGGTAGAGCCTGTGGAGCATCAGGTAGCCGTAATGTGCGCATGCAGGTCGACTCACCAGACAGTGTAGTGGGCAGGGTTCATGCTGATAATGTGCTCTGTGAGGCCGAGGACTCGCTCGCTGTACTCAGTCTTGGCCATTATGGCGCGCAGGTAGCCCATGGCCTCGCTGTACTCGTCGCTGTACGCAATGGCAGCGAGGGGATGCAGACCGCCGTCATCCTGGGGGAGGGGTTCTATGTCCGCCCATGCCTCGTCATCGTGGTAGAATTTGGGCATTCTGCCGTCTCTGCCAGACGCGTCTAGCTCTTCGAAGTATGAGCGCGCAGGGAGCAGGGCGTGCAGTAGGCGATATGGCAGCAAGGTGATGGCCCCTAGCCAGGCGCGGATAAGGTGGAAGAAAGCCATGGCGGGGTCTAGTCGAGCAACCTCGACTCCACTGCTTGGCGGAAATGGCGACCTCTTCTATCTTTTCATGTCTCGCAGAACAATAGCAGCCTGTTTGGCCCAATTATGGGCGCCAATTGCCCATGAACAATAGGTGGCGCATGTTGGTGACTCTTGTGTCCGGAAATCCCTCGCAGACTGGCCCATTGTGTGCTGGGCGTGTTTTTTTGAGCCTATGCGACGAACAATGCTAAGACGCTGGTGTTAGATCGCGCCCTGTTGGATCCGTCCCACCCCGCGTATGAAGTCTGTTTATGTGAAGATGGTGCGTGTGAATACAAGAATGGCGGATGCAAGGACGTTAGAAATGAATTTGTAGTAGTACATGGACTTCTCAGTGACGGTCAGGACAAGTCGTGGTCACGTGGTGTACATGGCTATACATTGTCACTACTCATCTTTTACCTAGGCCAATTCAAAATCATCCGAACAATTACATTGACGCTTTCCCACAGATTCACTTGAACATTTATGAAGTAAAAGTTCCAAAAGAGAAATAAATATGTGTACATCACTACCAACTTCCCTCACATCTCCCTCAACCACGCACCTTCCCCAACCTTCGCTCTTTCCACCCCAAAAATGCCACTCCATCCCACGCTCTTCCTCCCTCCCTCCCTCCCTCCCTCCTTCAAATCACCACATCAACCCTCAATTCAATACCAGCTCATCCGGGCAAATGTCCCCCACCGATTCCCTCCCCACCACACCGCACCTACAACCCAACCTCCCAAAACCCCAGGACATACTAGTCCCATACCTAATCACCGAGATTGAAGAATACCTCGCCGAGGCCATGGAACGCCTCAACGCTAAATCCAAAACGGAGCGCCTCAAATCTAGATTCAAAAAACTGTGGTGGATCATGACACCCATCACTGTAATTTTTTTCCCTCCCTTTCTTTTTTCGTTTTCCTCCTCCTCGTAGCCCCTCTCCCTCTCCCTCTTGATGTCCCTACCTATTTACCCACCCTCCCGCCTTATTGTTTTACCCATCCACCCACTCCTAAGAACGACTTCATCTTTAGACCCCCAAACTAACACCGCGCCTTCGCCACTCCTAGATCTTCAAATCTACCAACGAAAACAGCCTCCGCCCCCACTCCTACCTCTGGTACAAAGTCCGCGACCGCTGGCAACAATGGGCCACGAATCCCTATAATCTACATCCCATCTGGCACCTGTTCATCATGATTCTGCTCCTGTTCTGGATAGTGGGCAGTTCGCTCCTTTCGTGGTTTGAGGCTGGGGCTGATACGGGAACGGTGGCGGTTGCGAGGCTTTGTAGGGGGTTCTTGGGGAGTGTGCCGCCGATGATCCAGTTTCTTTTGTTCCTGTATCCGCCGCTTTTCGTGCAGTTTTAGGAAATGGTGGGAGAAGAATGGGTGGAGAAGGAGGAAGAAGAAGGACAATAGGGAGAGAGGGGGGGGAAGAGGGGTGGAAACAAACAAGGAGGAAGAGGTGGGAGAGGCACGAGGTGGGAAAGGAAGGGGTTACAATAAAAGAGAAGTTTAGACGATGGGCTGATTTGGGATTTCTCGACGTATTTGCCAGTGGCGGATGAGTCATGTTAGTCAGATATCGAGTTTATATGGCTTGTGTATTTTGCTATGAGAGAAGCGAAAACACTTTAGGACGATGAATACAGGGGAGTTGAAAGTGGAAAAGTAGACATGCCATGGAATTCACCAATCAAACACTCTTTACAAATCCCACAACCAGCCGTACTAATACATATGTGAAATCGAAATATACCACACTCCACCACAACCATCTACACCTACGACCCACCCTCCTGCGTCTCCTGCGTCCCCCCCAACAACCTCACCAAATCCCCCAACCCCCCCTCCCTCTTCTTCCTCTTCCTGCCCCCATCCTCCCTCTCGGCAAACGCAACACCGACAACGCGTCTCTTCTCCTCCTGAATGCCCAGCACCCTCTCCTCGACACTCCCCTCGACCACGACCCTCCAAACGGTCGTGTCGCGCGTCTGGCCCAACCTATGCACTCTATCCACGGCCTGATCCTCAATCGCAGGGGCCCACCACGAGTCGGCGAGGATGACCTGGTTGGCAGCGACGAGATTGAGGCCGACGCTGCAGACGGATAGGGAGGCGAGGAGGATGGTGGTGTCGGGGCAGGAGGTGAAGGTGTGGAGGGCGGAGTCGCGGGTGCGAGGGGGCATGGAGCCGTCTATGCGGGTGAAGGAGTACGAGGCAGCGGTTAGGTGGGGGGAGAGGAGGGAGAGGAACGAGGGCCATTGGGAGAAGAGGATTGTTTTTGTGGTGGGATCGCGCGTGTGGGAGGCGTCGAGGATGGAGAGGATGGCGGTGATTTTTGTGCTGGTGGAGGTTTCCAACGAGGACTTGTCGGCGAGGGCTTCTTGGGATGAGGGGCGAGGGAGGTGCTGTGCGGGCTTGACGGTGCTGGTGAGGAGGGAGGGGAGCGGGGAACGGCATAAAGGACATTTTTGAGAGGATTCGACGATGCGTTCGAGACAGGGGGTGCAGAAGGTGTGGGCGCAGGTGGTGATGACGGGGTCTTTGTACATGTCGAGGCAGATGGGGCAGTCTTCTTGCGAGTCGATGGAGAGTTGGAGGAGTTTCTGGAGTGCGAGTTTGTTTTCATCGGTGAGGTCTACCGCGCCGTTTTCGTCGAGCTGCTGCATAATCGAATCGAGTCGCTCTTCGCCGACAAGCTGCCAGTGGTTGCAGACTTGGCGCAGGCGAAGTAGGACTTCGAGGAGGTGGCGGTATGTGGATGCTGCGTCTTTTTTGCCGATGCTCTTTCGGTACTTGTCGAGTTGGCCTTTGGCTTCGGCTTCGAGGACGTTGTATTTTTCCTGCTCATGGGGCAGCAGTTTTACTTTGTGGATGTACTCGGTGAGGGGTGGGAGGCGCAGGTCGATAAAGGACATTTCTTTCTTGCGTCGCAGACATATGTCGGACATGAGCATTTGGAGGACCTGCTGACCCTTGACGTGGCCTTGCATGACGGGACGCATGATGGCACTGTGGAAGACTTCGAAGTTTTCGATGCCACCTGAGAGACGCAAGAAGCGGACTTGACTGTAAAGATCTTTAAGGTTGTTGATAATCGGGGTGCCGGTAAGAGACCATCGCGACTGAGCTATGAGATTGGAAATAGCAACAGTCTTCTTTGCTTTGGGGTTGCGTATGTTGTGGCCCTCGTCCAGGATCACGCGACGCCACTTGATGGAGAAGGGGCCTGACTTGCGAGGAAGGGAAGTCGACTTTTGCGAAAACCAATCAGAGGATATGGACTCGTACGTACTGATGACCACATCGTAATTCTCAATGGACTTGGGCGTGATGGGCTCTTTCTTCTGTCCATGCCAGAACATGACACGGAGCGCGTGTTCCGGCTTGATGTGATGCTCCATCTGTGTACTCCAGTTGCTCATGACGGAAACAGGAGCAAGTATCAGTGTAGCCCCGGTTGCATCTTTGGCACCGCGACCAAGTTCTCGATCGGCAACAATGAGGGAAATGGTCTGAATGGTCTTGCCTAGGCCCATGTCATCAGCGAGGATACCGCCTGAAGCCAAAGGTGGATTCTTGACAGAGAAGCTTGTTGCGACATTTGTATAGACATTGGGTACGCTAGTATGAGGACGCCAAAGCTGAACAACGCTTTTGCCTTCCTTAGTAGGAAGTTTGGGACTCTCCTTGTCGAGCATCCACTGCAGACCCTGCAATTGGAAAGGGTGCAGTTCGGTGACGAGAGCATTGGGTTGGGGTGCCTGAGGCATCGCAGCAAGATCCTCTTCTTTGACTCCAAATTCTTCGACAAATTCCTCAATATTTCTGGGATTAAATCTCTCGCTGCCGGTAATGATATCCTCTAGACTAGGTCCCGTCAATGAAGGAACACCCTGCGACAAGCCCGCAGCAAACTCGGCCATGCTGATCTCTGGACCTTCAATCCGCTGTGCTGCCGCCGCCGCTGCCGCTGCCGCCACCGCCCCCTTGACACCCTTCTTCTTCATTTGTTTGGCAGCTTCTTTAGCTCTGCGCTCTTGCTCCTTTTTCTCCGCAGCCTCCCTGCGTTGCCGTTCAGACGCACGTCCGACGGGTAATCTATCCTTCTTCATCCGAGCCATGAGCTCCTGTCGCTGTATGGGATCGTCTGTTCCGTAGAGTAGGAGCTCAATGGGGCACTCGTAGTAACCTTTGTGTCCCGTGATTTGGGCTTCAATCAGCAGACTGCGATCGTCCATGTATTTCGCCAGCTTGGCTGCCAGCCCTCTTGGAATATGACCAATTTGCTCTTCTTGAACATTATTGACACGGATGGCGTTTGCATCGTACTGGTTGTGTGGTTCTCTGCGAAGCACCACTGTTTCTCCTTCGGTGGCATATCCATTGTAGTATCTCACGCCGACAATCTTGTCATCTAAAGCGCCGTACAATAGGTAGTTGTAATGCTCCTGGCTGTACCCTTGGGTGGCATCGGGGGCTTCCTGTGAGGCATCATGTTCTTCAAATTCATCATCGTAATCCCACATGTCACCGGGGGTCATGTTCTCTTGCGATGAGCTGTTGGTCGCTCGTTGGGCTCCATTATACAATGTGCGCGATTGCTTGGGTGCGCGATATGATGAGCCATCAGGCGCGTCATCAGCAGTGAGGTCTACGACTTCTGCATGTCGTTTAGGTGCCATTTTGTCTCAACTTCACGGTTGCAGGGCGCAAAAGAAAGAGAAAAGGGGAGTGCGACAGCAGAGAAAGGGTTCAGGGCCCTGATCGCAAGATATGGTCGCAATCGGTCGCAGCGCGGGAGCGTCGGCCAGGAACATGATCTCACGCTAGAACGCGTACTGTGTCCGTGCGCGGAATGCGCGGATTCGCGCAATGCGCCGAACCACCAAAACCTCTCTATCGTCTCAACTTTACAACAATACAACGCAATGGGCTTAGAAGAAGCGCTTGAAGAGTGTGATACTTTCGAATCTAAAGATCAAATCCCCTGGTCTAAAATAGCTAAAAAACATGGCGTTGTGCGCTCAACGTTGACTCGAACGTACCGACGCGAAACG